AAATTCTTGAAAATCCATGAATTTTTTTTTAAATCCGCAAAAAATTTTTCTTCTTTGCTTTAAAATGTAAACAAAAAGAACATGTTCTCAATTTAAATAGAAGATGGGCGCGAAGCGCCCCAAAAGCCTAGTTAATTCAGAAATCTACAATATTGTAACCTGATGCTACTAATGCTACAGTAATGTGACTAACATTACTATCGCTAATCCATAAAGCTACAGTAACGTAGCATAAATTACTAATGTTAATTCATAAAGCTACAGTAACGTAACCTAACATTACTAATGTTAATTCTTAAAGTTTCAGTAATTTAACCTAACATTACTAACAATAAGTCATAAAGCTATAAGTAACGAAACCTATCATTACAAATGTTAATTCATAAAGCTGTAAAGTAACCTAAGGTTATCTAATGTTAATTCATAAAGCTACAGTAAAGTAACCTAAGGTTATCTAATGTTAATTCATAAAGCATACAGTAACGAAACCTAAGGTTATCTAATGTTAATTCATATAGCTGAAATACCACAACCTAATGATGATTATGTAATAAACGTCAGGTTACAGAACGTTATTTGGTTTGTAGGGAATCTGTTTTACCACATATTGACCTTTCTGGATGGGTTTAAGGGATTGTAAAGGTAATCTCATGTGTTCCTCCATGAAAAGAAAGTAATGCCAAATTCACAACCGTACTTTTGAAGCCTGCATCTTATTAATAATGTGGAAAATATTGTCGTTTTTTCTATGTTTGAAAGTGATGAATTCGAATAATCCCTGTTTTTTTTCATGCAGTAGAAATGCGCAAGTCACTTTGCAATTCAATGTTTACTTGATCCGACACAGATTTTAAGTGTACCGTTGTGAATCGGGCATTGCAATCTTTGCATTGAGACTTACTTGAAAATTACGCTAACAGTCTCTTTAAAATACAACTGTACATGAGTACTCGCCTATCTTTACTTCCTTAAAGTCAGAGATTCCATCTTCTTCTAGAGTATTCCAGAATATACTCTCTGCTATTTCCTAAAANCTTTTCAATTTTCAAGAGACCCTCCATATAAAGAGGTGCATGTTCCACTTCCACAACCGTTATGTAAAGGTTAAAATATAGTTGTGAATCACACATGCCACTTCTTATTCTTATTTAGGGTTCCTTGATATTTTGTCAACAGTAATTTTGTAAAGTAAAGTTATTTCATAATTTGAAAACATTTTGTAAAATTTAAGTTTCACTTTAAGCAAAATTAGAGCGGAATAGTTTTTTAATGCTTTATGAACAAGTTCAGTAAATTCGAAATGATTATTTCTTTTACCCAATTTGGAGAGAATTTTTCCCTTGGAATTTTTACTTGCAATTTCATAATCTTGAGTAGAAATAGTTTTCAATTTGTTCCGAGGCAAAAAAGTAACAATAACAAAACAAGTTACATTTTATATTTTGCGGATTTTTTTAAAGCAGCAATCGTACATTTTTTGGAACTTAAATTGAAAAAACATTATATATCTTTGCGTTTTGTTCGTTATCATTTTGGAAAATATGTTTTTTGTTTGTTTGTTGATTTTTTACTTTTTTGTTTGTTTTCAGTTAAATTTCAACTTTACACAAACAAAAAAGTAAAAATCCAAGCAAAAAATAAAATAAAAAACATGTTGTCCTGCATGATAACCCTTAGCCAGGTGCAGATATATAAATTGGCGGAAAAGGTTTGCACTCTCGCAGATAGAAAAACTTAAGGGTTTGGAAATAAATTTCAATATATTTTTATTAAATATATTTTATTAATGAATATGGTATTAATAACATTACAGAAATAGGTATTTATGCATGATTTGATATTAAAGTATGTTACCTCCTCTTGGCACTCGTAGAAGTTATCTAAAACACAATTCTAGATTATATATAAATCAATTTTTTTCCAAAAAAAAATATAAGATGACACATATAAAACTACGGTCAAAGACAACAAATAATGGAATAATTGTCTTTTTTTATTTATAAATATAAAGTGTTGTCAAAGATTTAATTTAATTGATGTTAAACCCATTAAAGCATAAAGGGTAGGGTCGGTTGTTGCAATCTTAAATGATCCTATTTAAAGAGGGGCGAACTCGATTCAAATTGATACAAGCAATACTTCTTCATCTGATCAATAATAAGGAAGATAAATGACCGTTTTTGTGCTAAATGGACCAAATCCATCTTTTCTGGAGCAAAAAGCCACATTTTTATGAGAAAAAAAAAACACTATTAAAAATCCTCAATTTTCAAAGTTAAAAACATAGATATCTTACTTGTTCTTGATCAAACAAAGACTTTACGGTAACCTTGTGAACGGGTAACCTTGTGAATCGCACAGGCCACTTAATAAATGGAGGTTTACGTCTATATATCCTTAAAAGATTACCCAATATTGTGTTGATAGGACAGCATTTATACAAGATTTCTTCTCCTGCCAAGGTTTCCCTAGTTACCCTGAATATTTCAGAGTTTAAAAGAAAACAGAGAAACAAAGATTCCCACTTTTACGATATTTACAAACTAAAAATTTTGCAAATTTGTTGAGATATTTTACGATATTTGAACCTATAGCTCAGCAACCCAATGTCAAAGAACTTTTTTTGGACTTAAGTCTATCAACCCTCATGCATCTAAGAAATGATGTCTTGGATCGTTCTGCAGATCTGCACATCTAGACTCTAGAGTCAGTGAAAAAAAACATCTAAAACATTATTACCTAAATGTTACCATCAAAACAAAATTAAACGCGTATCCTAAATGTGTCTATACCATCAAGATAAACATATTTTTCCTTCAGATGTACAGTTCATAAATAAATCTGAATTTTTAAAAATATTTTTTTATAACTTTTAATTTTCACAAAAAAAATCTGTATTTCACGTCTGGCAACACAAAATCACAGAGCAGTAGCGTAAGAGTAAGATACACATCAGTACTCAATTAAGACTTTTGTTTGGTTAAAGTGACCGTTCACTTATTTGGGTAATTTCATAGAGTAATAAAACGAAGAGGTGAAGCTTACCTCAGATGTACACAACCGACCTCCCTATTAATTAATTAATAGAGTGGTCGGTTGTATACATGACAGCCTGACATTTGATCCATATTTCACATAAAAAAATTAATGAACTATTTGGTCATAGGAAACTATTATGTGAATTATCAAAATTTTCACAATTCAATGCTTTTATCCTCCTCGGATACTAAACGAACACTCCGGGGCGGATACAGGATTTAAGAACAAAAAAATGAATAATTAGGAACTAAAATCGTGGCGCAGGCGAAAATTTGAAAGACTTAAAAAGAGTCAAAATTAATGACTAAAGACTAAAAATCTATTCTTGTTTACAAATTACGCCCAGAGAGAACTGGTTTCAATATGTACGCAGAGTATACGCAACTGCAATTAATTTTCCTTGCATTATAACCTTGCATCACATCATGTGTAATGTCCATATGTACAGTGAACACCAGAGTTTGTACACAATGTACATACTGTATAACCCAGGATACGGGATCAGGGGTTAATGAAACGAAATAGGTTTATTACTAGAAAGAAAGAAGAGGGAATGAAGGGACTATTGCAGTCGCGCCACAAACGCATTTTAAACAATTGTTTGTTTGATACGTTTTCCTATATTTCCCTTGGAATCCCCGGGATTTTTTGAAGAGTTGGAATCTGGAAAGTCGTCTTTGTACATAAACTTGTTAATTTGTTAAATCATGTTTGAACACGAAAAAAGTTTATATCTTGTTAATTCTAAAATCAAAAGTTTTTATATTCTATTATAAAACGGCTGACACATTGGTGTCTATGAAATATTTTATATTTTATTGGGCTATTGTTAAGTAAATAACATTTATGCAAAGGTATCAGACCTCTCCGCTGGAATTCTAGAGGATAAATCTGGCTTTTTCTCCGTTCATAGACATCTTTGAAAAGTAAAACTAATACAAATAAATAGCAAATAGGCTATAATTAATTTACCATGAAATTATTCAAATAAGTGAACGATCTCTTTCAACGTAAATTAGATATCCCTGAATTTCTGAATGAGAATGATTAAATTGTATTGAGTTGTAAGTATTTGCTGACAAATTTTATTTTTGTTATTTTGCATTTAGTATTCTTATTTTGAAAATCCATGCCAAAATAAGATAAGAAAAATTTCAACAATTTATTTCAAGAAGATTTCCCCGAGGACACCTTTATTTTATAGGACTTCTTTAAACCGGTCGTTTTTTCACCAGATTCTAATAAATTGTTCAACTCTTTTATTAAACTAGATGAAGGGCCCGGCGTTTCCCGTGGAGAATTTTTAAAAAGTCCAATTTTTTTTAGCCTATCATACCCCCCAGCCACCCATGAGTGCCCACAAAAAAATATCCGCCCAATCGGTCCCCTCGTTTGGCCGGCCATTCGCAACATACGAATGCCTTGTTTTATCATATAGATAATTCTCAAACACCCTCATGAGCTAACTTTTTTGAAGGATATTTTGTAATTAAGGATAGTCAAACTATCATCTTGTCCCGGTCCCCGGATGGATTATTTTTGGTTATGGGGTTTATAAACATACACAATTATTAAGGAAAAAATATACAAAAGTTGAAAAATTATGATTTCATTCGATGTATAATGTTATAAATGAAAATAAAGTGCAGTTCACCTATTTTTGAGAGAGCGATGTACGTTCCGGATTTCATTTTGTTTTGGATTGATTTGTAGATTTTTCCATTTCTGTTCGCGGATTTTTCCTTTTCCGGTTAGTCGAATTTTACGCTTACTCCTTGGTGCTCCAATGTCTGAGAAGCGTGAAGTATCGTCTACTGATCTTCTATCATATTGATAGATGGCCGAATTCCTTAATGCGTTCATCATTCATCAGTTATCAATGACAATTTTGGTTTATAAAAATGTAAAAATATTGTATTTTAGAGCTGGATTTGGGGCAAGGGCTTGGAGGGGGGAGGGGTAGAAATCGGTTTTCTATTCCCCCCCCCCCTACCTTCTTCTTTCCCCCAATCTACCCATTATCAGGTGAATGATAATGTTTTCCTATTGGAGTATTGAGAATAGTTCTTCCCAATGTTCTGACTGTTATACAAACAAGAACATCAGTTTAGATGAATATATGTATAAGTTGTTTAAACTCCAGGGTTCTAAAGCATCTTTTTACCTTAGATAGCCAGGTTTAATGTCAAAATAGTGAACGGTGGTTTCAATGGCGACTTTAAAATCAAAGATATGGTTATTATTGCAGAGCAATAGATTGGCAACATTGGGCATTGCTTCGGATATCTTAGTTTTTAAACTTTATGGAAGTTACTGAATTGTTATCTAAGAAATTAGATTGCTGTCTAAGTGATTAGATTGTTATCTAAGAGATTAGATTGTTATCTAAGTGATTAGATTGTTATCTAAGTGATTAGATTGATATCTAAGTGATTAGATTGTTATCTAAGTGATTAGATTGTTATTTAAGTGATTAGATTGATATCTAAGAGATTCGATTGTTATCTAAGTGATTAGATTGTTATCTGAGTGATTAGATTGTTATCTAAGTGATTAGATTGCTATCTAAGAAATTAGATTGTTATCTAAGAAATTAGATGGTTATCTAAGTGATTAGATTAATATCTAAGAGATTAGATTAACATCTAAAATATTAGATTATTATCTAAGAAATTAGATTAATATCTAAGAAATTAGATGATTAATATCTAAGAAATTAGATTAATATCTAAGAGATTAGATTAATATCTAAAATATTAGATTAATATCTAAGAAATTAAATTAATATCTAAAGTATTAGATTAATATCAAAGAAATGAGATTAATATCTAAGAGATTAGATTAATATCTATGAGATTAGATTAATATCTAAGAGATCAGATTAATATCTAAAAGATTAGATTAATATCTAAGAAATTAGATTAATATCTAAGAAATTAGATTAATTTTTAAGAATTTAGATTAATATCTAAGAAATTAGATTAATATCTATGGAAGTTACTGAATTGTTATCTACGAGATTAGATTGTTGGCTGAGAGATTAGATAGTTATCTACTTAAATTGAATTGTTGTCTAAGACATTAGATTTTTATCTAAGTGTTTAGATTGTTATCTGAGAGATTAGATAATTATCTATGGAATTAGATTGAAGTTTAAGAGATTTAATTATTATCTAAGTCATTATATGGTTACAAAAGAGATTTTATTGTTTTCTAAGAGATCAGATTGTTGTCTAAAAGATTAGAAAGTTATCTATGAAATTAGATTTTTATCAAAGAGATTTAATTGTTATCTAAGTGATTAGATTGCTATCTGATCGATTAAATTATTATCTAAGTGATTAAATTTCTGTTTAAGAGATTAACTCGTTATTTGATAGATCATTTTGTTATATAAGTGATTAAATTATTATCTAAGTGATTTAGTTCCTATCTAAGAGATTAGATTGTTATTTAAGTAATTAGCTTGTTATCTGATAGATTAATTATTATCTTAGTGATTAAATTGATATTTAAGAGATTAAATTGATATCTAAGTGATTAGATTATTATTTAAGTGAATAGATTGTTATTTAAGTGATTAGATTGTTATCTAAGTGATTAGATTGTTATCAAAGAGATTCGATTGAGATCTAAATGATTAGATTGTTATCTAAGTGATTAGATTGTTATTAAGGAGATTAAATCGTTAATTAAGAGATCATTTTGTTATCTAAGTGATTAAATTATTATCAAGGAGATTATATTGTTATCTAAGAGATTATTTTGTTATCTGAGTGATTATATTGTTATTTAAGAGATTATTTTGTTATCTGAGAGATTAGATTGTTATTTAAGAGATTAGATTGTTATCTAAGAGATTAGATTGTTATTAAGAAGATTAAATCGTTATTTAAGAGATCATTTTGTTATCTAAGTGATTAAATTATTATCTAAGAGAGTATATTGTTATCTAAGAGATTATTTTGTTATTTGAGTGATTATATTGTTATCTAAGAGATTATTTTGTTATCTGAGAGATTAGATTGTTATCTAAGAGATTATATTGTTATCCAAGAGATTAGATTGTTGTCTAAGAGATTATATTGTTATCTGAGAGATTAGATTGTTATCTAAGAGATTATATTGTTATATGAGAGATTAGATTGTTATCTAAGAGATTATATTGTTATCTAAATAATAATATAAAATTTTGATCTTTTTTAACACGAGTTTTGTGTTTGCATTCCTTGTGTTTATCGATGTTGTTTCTTTCCAAGAGAAAACTATAAATCAATAAATTAATTTTGTTTTTAACATATTATGTTTTTCTTGTAAACATTAAATATTGATCAAAATAAACAAATATTTTTTTCTAATATTTGTTTTAAAAACAATTCTTCTTCTTGGCTTTTTCAACTTCATAGTGGAGAACTTTTACAAAATAAATGTGTGTGTATATGGTGGGGTGGAGGACGGTCAAAGAGCAGGTCGGTGTTTCAAAAATTTAAAAATCGTTTATAATTTATTTGAAAAAAGTCCTAGCAAAATAGATGTAGTAACATTTGTCAAAAGTAAAAATATATTTTTTACATTTTTTCTACTTACTTTTGGAATGACCTACCTCACCCTAACCATTCAGGTTAAAAGTCGGTTTTTATAAGGGGGGGGGGGGGGCAATGCAGTGTAAATTTACAGTTTTTTTCCTTTTCAACTAAACATTAGTTTGCAAGAATCTAATTTATGTACACCATGAGCCTGAAAATTGCAATTGAAGCCAAAACCTTGAAACTTTTTCCTTTTGATTAATCAAAGAGAGTTGATTGTCTGTAAAAAGACTTGAAGTAAAATAAATTTATTCTTCCTGTGCATATAATGCAGAACAACGCTCTGAAGCCGAAGGACCTCATCTCTAAAAGAAAAAAAATTATGACCGAGTTTCCTAGGAAAGGGACGTACGTACGTCACATAGATTCAGCCTGCTTATCTCATCAATTGTTTAAGACAGGGTTGACTTTAAATTGTCACAACGCCCTAAGCTTAGATTTTACCGCTCTAACTCAATTATGCTTTTATGTAGCCCTTTACATGTACATTTTAGCACTGTAAAGCACTTATTGTTAGCTTTGGTTTTTTAGAAGTAATTGCAAAATTTTCAACAATTTAAGCTTGAGACCATTAAATCGCAGTGGGACTGGTTAGGTAAAATAAAAATAATAGTTCTTTCTGATATTAAAGTTTAGACAGATAATATTTAGATAATATTTAGACAGATAATATTTAGATAATATTTAGACAGAAAATATTTAGATAATATTTAGACAGATAATATTTAGATAATATTTAGACAGATAATATTTAGATAATATTTAGACAGAAAATATTTAGATAATATTTAGACAGATAATATTTAGATAATATTTAGACAGATAATATTTAGCAAAAAACGGAACGAATCAGGTTTCCTTTGGAATAATACGATGCACTTTTGACGATGATGGTCAAGTAAAATCGAGAAGAGATAACCTAGCAGAAATTTCTTAAATGTAACGAAAAATTTTGCGAACAAATTAATTGACATTCAAAAAAGTTTGTTGTAATTGGAACGGTATTTTAACGAAAAGTTTGAGAAAAGATATAACAGGCAAAGAATTTAAAGGGACTGGTTGCGCAATGTTAAGAGGGGACGCATGAAAAGAGGGGACTGCTGATTTACATCAATACTATTAAAGTCAGATATATGTTTGTGTTAACTTATCCGCATTCCTTTTATCAAGCTGCTTTCCTGGGTGCGCTGTGTGCAGTCTGATCTCAAAACAGCACACACAGGAATTTACAGTTGAATATAAGCGGATTTCGATAAGTTAACACACATATATCTCAATACTCGACGAAAGCACAAAGTTTTTAAGGGTACTGTTGTAAATCGGAAATCTTTACATGGAGGGTCACTTGACATTATGCTTACAGTCCCTTTAAATTATTATTTTGAAAGATATTAATTTCTTCCTTGTCATGGGAAATAAAGTATCTACTCTAGATTTACAGGTCTGAAAGTTTCAAAGGATAATATTAAGCTGCAAAAATTTATTCTTTTTTGCATTAAACTATTTCAAACTTTTGGCTCAAAATCCTAAAAATCCAAAAAGATAGTATTTTGACGTTTTGAGTTATAAAATCAAACTTTTCAATGGCAGCCAATGTTAACATAAACTATGCATACACAATACACATAAAGGATTGAGTATTTGTCACAAACTCATCTTTTGTAATCCCTATATATTTGCCACCAAAAAGTGTAAACCTTTGATATTTTAAACTTATACTATTTGATCTAACAGAATTCACAGTTTTAAATATTTAAGACCTACGACATTGCATTGAAAATATGAAAATTAGAGTTTGTGTTAAAAACTCAATTCCTCCGCCAAGATTTTGACAGTTACTTCTTGAAAAGTAACTTTGGATTTTGGAGACAGAAAAGAATTTAAAGGAACTGAGTTCTTGGTATGTCTTGTCATGTAAAAGTTTGGGCCGGACCGATTTAGCCGTTTTTTAGACGTTCATTAGATTGAAGCAATGATACAACCCAAGAATAAAGCAAAAACCCTCCACCATACCTCAATAATCCTCCTCCGAACAATCTCATTTCACTGCTATTATAAGACTAAAGACAATAAAGAAATATCAAGTGTTAACGAAAAACTTGATTTTTTAATCAAAGAAATAAGAATATAAGAATGTTGTGACATAATTGTTATCTAAAGGGGTTAAAGATTAGATATAGTGAGCCCCAAAAACTGTTAAAGAGAAAGACGATATTTCAGTAAGCTTGTGTATTTAAGATTGTATTGAAATAAATAGTTTCACCAGTAGCTTGCAAATCAATTTATTAGAGTACTGCACACTGCTGTATTTTAATAAAAATCAAAACTGTTATCTTTTAAAACCTAGTGCACGCCTTTTTCCCAATCCAAAATGTGGTCTTCTATTTCATTTTTGACAAGAAACAAAATCAGAAATGTCAATTGATCTTCCACCTGAGAAGCTTTGTCTGCTTAATTATAAATTAGATATTCATGGTTTTGTTTTTGTCTCCCCGAAAAAAGGGACAATTGCACATTTCTTGCTTCAGAAAGAATTAAGAAATTATCAGAATTAAACTCTTTTCAACCCATAAAAACGAGGTCATCTAACAATTATTTATCAAGTAACGGCTTCAAGGGTACTGTTGTGAATCTGAGTGCCTCTCTGTAGATGGAGGGTCACTTAAAAACATTAACAGTCCCTTTAATTTGATTGAACAACTTGAAATCTGAAATCTTGAAGTGATAAAAATGGCAAACAACATTTTGTAGATTTACTGCATCGTTTTTACAGTGCTTCATGCTTTCGCAATCTTTAGGGTGTATCTCTGTTTGTTTGCATGTACGATCATAACTTTCGAACCCTTTGACAGAATTTAGTTCTTGTCATAGATTTTGTAATCCCTATATCCAAGCAACCCCATTTCGTAAACCTTAAATATTTCAAACTATGAATTCTGATAGATCAAATTATCTAAGTTTCAAATATCAAAGGTCTACACCATCAGGTTAAAAAGATATTAGAAAATTTGAGTTTGTGGCAAAGACTCAATTCCTTTGGATTGGGTAACTCGTAAAGTAAACAGTTTAAAATTGAGCGGGAGGAATGGGAGGAATTTCCAAACAAAGTTGGGTTTCCAATCTAGTATTTTGGATACTTACTGCTTCTGATATATTAGTCGCCGGACAAGGATTCCCTGAACTGTTCTGCCATGCTTTTCTTTAAAATTCATGGCGATTTTATATATTTTAGGTGTAATATCATTATTTTTTTAAAAACATTTTTTGCCTACTTCAAGTCGTATATTTAAGATTATTATAATCGGGTTCTGTTTTGGAACTTAAAATGTACTGCCACTTTTTATTTTAAATTTTTCTTCATGTAACATACACTGCCCTGCTTAAACGAAAAATGTTAAAAAAATAGAGAAAAAAAAACAATTTTTTAAAAAAAGTGGTGACATCTCTCAGGGTTCGAACTTTAATGATTATTTGTTCAAAGAATTGATTTAGTTTAAGTTTTATAAAAGGAACTGTAAACATAATGTCCCGTGACCCTCCATTTAACGAGTTTAAGTTTTAGTTAATAGGTGTTAAATTCGGATAAATTCCTTTCATGTCGTACAACATAAATCCGCAATTCACCCGTAAAAGAAGAAACCATGCCACTAATTTTGTTTCTATGATAAGGGCATGCACTCCTGTATGCCGATTCCATTAGCGCCTGATCCAATCAGGGTTCAGTCATGAGTTTGTTGTCTATTCTGAACCAATAATAATAGTATGGCGGTAACATCTATCTTTCTATCTATCTCATTATTCAATTAGATATATGAATCCTTCAATCGGCGCTTTCAGTAAATGGAAATATTTACTTCTACTGAAACTGTAGTGGGCCGGGTGAACCGGACATTTAAGGTTACTTGAATTTAAGTCAAAAATCACTTTAACGAAAAAGTTTTATACAATTTATATTAGCTGTAAAAGTTGTAGGTACGTTAAGAAAGGAATTGAGTTTTTGCCACAAACTCATATTTTCTGAGCCCAATATCTTTGCAACCTGATGGTGTAAACCTTTGATATTTCAAACTTGGATTAATTTATCTATAAATATCAATAGTTTGAAATATCTAAGGTCTACGACATTGGGTTACAAAGATATAGAGATTAGAAAACCATAGTTTGTGGAAAGAACTCAGTTCCTTTATTTCTCTAACTTTGGTAAACTGTCAATTATAAAACTATCAAAAAATAAAATGTTTATAATTGACCAAGTCCTTAGAAAATTAGTTTTAAGAGATGTAACATCTTTGTTTATGTTTGTGACATACCACTCTTGGAATAGAGGATCACTCAAAAATACGTATGCAGTCCCTTTAAACTACAAATTTGTTTTGATGAAAGATTTAATGTATTTTATTCTCAGCTGTAGCCAATTATAACAACAAACTATAATTTACTTTTGGAGATTGACAGAAATGACTCTCCATGCAAAGATGGCAATGCCCAATTTACAATAGTACCCTTTAAAGCTTTATCTGTTCAAGTATGCAGTAGATATTTATGTTATAGTTTCTTTAAACTGTTTATTTTCATTTGCGGTTTCTCTGCGAGAGTGACTTGCGCATTTCTTGCTTGCAGAAGCTGTGGAGAAATTAAAAGAAATAAACAATTTTTGAGTGATAAGAAAAATATGAAAGCTATCATTATTTTTGATCATGTCAAAGTCTATTATTTATATTTATTATTTATATTTATTATTTATATTTATTATTTATATTTTATTTTTGATCATGTCAAAGTCTATTATTTATATTTATTATTTATATTTTATTTTTGATCATGTCAAAGTCTTTTATTCATATTTATTGTTTATATTTATTATTTATATTTTTTTTTTGATCATGTCAAGGTTTCATGAGTACCATTGTAAATCAGGCATTGCCATCTTTGGTTCGTGTTTTCTCTATTTTCTGTCAGGGTCAAATTTGGCTTAAAATATAGGAGAAGAAACATTTTATTGCTTATATTCTAAACATTTGCCTTAGTATACACTTTGTCAAAGTTTGGCCCTGATATGTACAAAATATATGTACTATATGTAAAATATGTACAAAATATATGTACAATATGTACAAAATATATGTACAATATGTAAAAAATATATGTACAATTTGTACAAAATATATGTACAATATATACAAAACATATGTACAATATGTACAAAATATATGTACAATATGTACAAAATATAAATTTTATAAAATCCTTTTATTTAAATGGTAACAAATAACAGAAAATATTTTTTTTAATAGTAACACGCAATTTTATGTAACCATATAATCATAATCAATCAATTCCGAATTGTCAGTACATGATAAAATCTGGGGGGACCTTAAACACAATAGAGAGCAGTACAAATGTACATATTAATCTATAAGCTAGTTGTATATTGTTTATGTTAAAAAATTAGAAATAATGATAATGATAATGATAAGTTACAAAAACGTTTAATTTCTCAACCCTCTTGAAAATTGATGCAAATTGTTATGTCTGCTTGGACTTCTCTCTCTCTCTCTAGCTGCTTGGACTGCAATATTTATTTCAGTTTGCTTGTTAACCATAATTTATATATTTCCATTTTCCACAGAACGTGAAGTTCAGAAAACTCTCATTTTTGTTGAAATATACCATAAAAATACCATAATCATTGTAAACCACAAAACACAAAAATTGAATATTTTTTTGCTCTTTACTTTATATTGGTATGCTCTTTTTCTTTTATTATAGCTCTCTTTTCATCAATAAAGGAATTAAGGCTTTGATTTATATATCCCTATATCTTTGCAACCCCATGTCATAAACCGTAGTTAATTCAAACTCTGAAATTTTGAATAATCTAAGTTTGAAATTTCAAAGATTTACACCATCAGGTTGAAAAGATATAGCTATTAGAAAATTTTAGTTTGTGGCAAAGAATGAATTTTTTTAATCTTTTTTATGTTTGCTGTTTTATTGTCTTCATCTCTTTTTAGTAACTCTTTACTTTCATCTTTATTTTTATTAATACATATACCTTTCTTGTCATCTTAAACTTTCCTTTACTTTTACTTATTTCACAACGGTTTCTGTTAATCTTACTTAAAGATTATCATGATTTCAACCATTTTCTTGCCTTTCTTTAAATTCATTCGCAAAATGTTTTAATTTTTCGCTCAACTTTAGGCACATTTTTTACACAGGATCCGTCTTTGAATATTAAACTTTTTTTCTTTATATTAACATTGCTTGTATAATTTATGTACAGGGTTACCGACAAAGGATGAGAATTCAAGGACAACTTTACAGACTTAATTCATTCTTATTTTTTTCACTCCTGGCTCGCCGCAGCTTTACGTGGATTATTATCTGTGATGTACGTATCCTTCTAATTGTCATATAAAAACAGGTTAAGGTCATCCTTAAAGTCTCATCCTTGATGGGTAACCAAGCACTGATTAATTCATAAGTATCTCTGTCTCTCCGTATGTTGAGGTTTACTTTAAAACTAACCTCCGATCTTCTCTGGTTCCACCGGAGAATATATCTTTTTGTCCTCGGTGTTTCATACCCCGGTTTCTCAAATACCAATTCCGGAGGAACAAACTACAGTATCACAGATTCCGTAATTAGTTTCCGCAAAACAACTCTTGAAATACAAATTACGAAGAAACAAACTACAGTATCACAAATTCCGGAGCAAGAAATAAACTCCAGAAATACCAATTTCGTAAAAAAAACTCTTGAAATACAAATTCCAGCGAAACAAACTCCGGAAATACCAATTCTGGAAAAATAAACTCACGAAATACCAATTCCAGCAAAACAGACTCTTGAAATACCAATTCCAGCAAAACAAACTCTTGAAATACCAATTCCAGCAAAACAAACTCTTGAAATACCAATTCCAGCAAAACAAAACTCCGGAAATACCAATTCTGGAAAAATAAACTCACGAAATACCAATTCCAGCAAAACAGAAACTCTTGAAATACCAATTCCAGCAAAACAAACTCTTGAAATACCAATTCCAGCAAAACAAACTCTTGAAATACCAATTCCAGCAAAAAAAACTCTTGAAATACCAATTCCGGGGAAGCAAACTACCAAAACACCAGTTCCCGAGCAACAAACTCGAAAAATACCAATTCTTGAGAAACAAATGTTAAATTCCGAAAAAAAACTTCTGAATTGTTAATTCCAGAGAGAGAAAAAATTTGGAAATACCAATTACGGAGAAACTAATTACGGAATTAAAAGTTCTAGAGAAACATTTTCCAAATAATTCCAAAGGGGAATGTCAACATACATTTTCATACTTTATATTTAGAGATATCTCTCTGATTTTTGGCATGTAGGCCTGAATTGTGATCTAGGTTTTCAATCGAAAACCAAAGTGGGAGGAAAAATAATTTTTCCCGCATTTTATGGAAATTTTTTCAAAAACTTTGTGTTAGGTCCATATTGGGTGTCTCAAGTCATCAACATTGGGTCGGGAAACTCATATACCATTTCCCCCCCTTTCCCGCATTTTCCCACTCCTAAAGGCCAAAGAAGCCTTCTGACTTTATTACTAAAGATTAATCTCTAATTTTTGGCATGCAGACCTGAATTGTGATCTAGTTTTTGAATCAAACAACAAAATGTAGGAAAAATTATTTTTTCAGCATATTTCAGACATTTTCAAAAAGTTTGTGATAGGTCCATGTGGGGTGTAAACTCTTGTGCCTTACAAAACGTCAAATTCAGGGAAAATTGAATTTTCACTGTAACATGATATTCAAGATTAAAATACTAGTGTTGGAAACAAATTGGAAAATAACCTACATAGAATAAAATTCAAGCTAAAATTTCAATCGGTGTTCCCATGGGCCCATACTACAGCAATCCTCATTGCACTTCCCTTGGGAAAATCCTGGCTACGGACCTGAATCAATCCAAAGTTCCCTCCCCCTCCCCCCCTCCACAATACCAAAACCTTTCTAAGAAGGCCAAATTCCCCGGTTAGAAATCATAATCATTGAAGTACTATTGAAGACCCCAACAGCCATCTGATCAATGCATCGAGACCCACAGATAATTTTGTCAGAGATTCCCAGATTTTCATTTATAAACCCCAAGCTCTGGGTCTCCAATTAAAATCTAGGGGTCTCCACTGGGATGGCTGTTGGGGTCTCCTATTGTACTTCAATGACTCTATTTTACCTGTAAAAAGTATTAGAATGCCCAGCTCTATCAAAAGATAATAAATATTAATTAAGAGGTGGGGTCTACTAAATCTATATACATATACTTTGCTTGTCTGTCTGTATCCAATAAACGTCGAAACGGCTGAACCGATTGGGCCCTTTTTTTTGTAGACCTAACGTGAGCCCAGGCCCCAGGGTAGGTTTATGGATGGTCAGAATTGAAAAAATGCCTTATAAGATTTAGATTTTATCAAATCTACGAAGATCGATAAATCTGCAAATATTTTTGTTATTGTTTGATAATTTAGGAAGAGAAAAAGAGCAATAATTAAGAGTAAAATTCAAAGATGGAAACCTAAAAATATAAATATTTTCAAGTCAGGAGGGTACAGGGAGGCATATATTAATAATTTCAAGTCAGGAGGGTACAGGTAGGCATATATTAATAATTTCAAGTCAGGAGGGTTCTGGTACAGGGAGGCATATATTAAAAATTTCAAGTCAGGAAGGTTCTGGTACAGGGAGGCATATATTAATAATTTCAAGTCAGGAGGGTTCTGGTACAGGGAGGCATATATTAATAATTTCAAGTCAGGAGGGTTCTGGTACAGGGAGGCACATATTAAAAATTTCAAGTCAGGAGGGTACAGGGAGGCATATATTAATATTTTCAAGTCAGGAGGGTACAGGGAGGCATATGTTAATAATTTCAAGTCAGGAGGGTACAGGGAGGCATATATTAAAAATAATAAAAAAGATAAAAACAGTTTTTGAAAGTTTCACCAGTTTGTTCTGTTCAGATCAAAACTAATTTAAAAGTAAACAAAAATGATGAGATTATATTTCAGAATTTAGAGTAAACACACAGAGTACTCTGCTGATGATGGGCGGACCAAGGTTTAATGAGTACCTTTATAAATCCTTCGTATTGAATAGTTTAACTTTTCACGTTTGGTATTATAGTACAAGAAGTTCACAAAAAGTATTTATTTGTTTTTAAAACCAGATATTGGGTTCAAATGAATTTTCTACAGAAAAAAATATTAAAAAAAGTAGAACAATTATGATTAACACTAATAAAAAGTAACAACTTATCTTTTTAATTAGAAAGCTAGCAAAATTAAATATTATCTTAAGTTTTCTCTCAGTCTCTAAATATAACAGGTTAAAAAGTGTGTTATTCTATTTCTAATTAGCGTAGAATAAATATTAGCTTAACCTGCAAATGTGTAGCTAACGGTACTTCACGTCAAACTAAAGTAAATTGTAAAATTGAAATCTTATAATGTGTAGCTAAAGGTACTTCACGTCAAACTAGGTAATTGTAAAATTGAAGTCGTATATGTTTTAAATCTATAGGTGCTTCTCTAACTTCAGAGTTCTTGAGAAGAATAAAATTTTTTGAATTTCTAATTTGCTTTTCCCATACTTAATAAAACAAAAACTAGATTAGCTAAGAGGTAACAATATCGGACCAGTAATCTCTTTCCGTCTAGTTTACAATGACTATATGGGAAATCTTTGGAAGAAAAACAATATTAAATTGTCGTTCTTCTGTGGATATATATTACATAAAACTAGTAACAACAAAGTGTCTTTTTTAGAATAATTTCAGTCATATTTTAATCTCTCATTCAATATCCAGCAAAAACAGCAAAGAAGAGATTAGAGACCAATTACTTTATTGTTCAGACACACATTTCACATAAATCTGTATTAAATTTTCTTAATTTAGTTCAACATTTATTTCAATATAGATATTTACAAAATTATTTATTCATTGGTATAACACTCGCTGTCCAGTAAAGTGTTATTATTCAGAGTGTTCTTTATAAAGAGGAGCAGAGGCTTGACTCGAGTTATCAACTAGAAAAATAAACTTTACTTTTCTTTTTATTCTTAAATGAAATGTAAACGTAGTTTTAAGTGATCCTTCATCTTGTAAGGTTCACTTGAAGATATGACTACAGTCCATTTAGTATTGTCATTTTTTGTTTAATTTCTATATTTAGTTTATTTAATTTATTTTGTTCATTTTCATTGTTTAGTTTATTTAGTTTATTTTGTTTACTTTGTTTATTTTGTTTATTTTGTTTATTTTGTTTATTTTGTTTAATTAGTTTATTTTGTTTATTTGTATATTTTGTTTATTTTGTTTACTTTTTTTACTTTGTTTACTTTGTTACTTTGTTTATTTGTTTATTTGTTCACTTTTCTTACTTTGTTTACTTTGTTTAATTGTTTATTTTGTTTATTTTGATTATTTAGTTTATTTAGTTTGATTAGTTTATTTTGTATATTCGTTTATTTTGTTTATCTTGTTTATTTGTTCATTTTGTTAATTTTGTTTATTTTGTTCATTTTGTTTATCTTGTTCATTTGTTTATTTTGTTTATTTTGATTTTTTTGTTTATTTATTTATTTTGTATATTTAGTCTATTTTGTTAAATTTTGTTTATTTTGTATATTTAGTTTATTTTGTATATTTAGTTTATTTTGTTTATTTTGCTTATTTTGTTTATGTTGTATATTTAGTTTATTTTGTATATTTTGTTTACTTAGTTTATTTTGCTATTTGTTTTATTTTGTTTATTTTGTATATTTAGTTTATTTTGTTTATTTTGCTTATTTTGTTTATTTTGTATATTTAGTTTATTTTAATTATTTTGTTTACTTAGTTCATTTTGCTAATTGTTTTATTTTGTTTATTTTGTTTATTTTGTTTATTTTGATTATTTTGTTTATTTTGTATATTTAGTTTATTTAGTTTATTAATTTTATTTAGTTTATTTTGGTTATTTTCTTTACTTTGTTTATTTTGTTTATTTTGTTTATTTAGTTTATATTGTATATTTCGTTTATTTTGTTTATTTTGTTTTTTTGTTTATTTTGTTTATTTTGTTTATTTTGTATATTTAGTTTATTTTGTTTATTTTGTTTACTTAGTTTATTTTGCTAATTGTTTTATTTTGTTTATTTTGTTTATTTTGATTCTTTTGTTTATTTTGTATATTTAGTTTATTTAGTTTATTAACTTTATTTAGTTTATTTTGTTTATTTTGTTTTAATTACCTCTTTAATTTCAACCATTTTGGAGAAAGCTGTGGCTCTGGGGTTTGCATCAGTCTAAAAAGTGACAGATCTCAAATTTAATTAATTATTCACACTACAGCCTAGACATGACAATTAGAGTGGAAAATAAACGATTCATTTAGGAACCTAACAAAAAAAACTTTTTTTAGCGTTCGTAGTTATTTATGTTTAAAGTTTTGAAATTGTTGATGCTTATTCATAACACATTTTATACTGTTCTATACTGTTCTATATTGTTCTATATTGTTCTATACTGTTCTATATTGTTCTATATTGTTCTATACTGTTCTTTATTGTTCTATATTGTTCTATATTGTTCTATACTGTTCTATATTGTCCAATACTATTCTGTACTGTTCTATATTGTTCTATATTGTTCTATACTGTTCTATATTGTTCTATATTGTTCTTTATTGCTCTATATTGTTTCATACTGTTCTTTACTGTTCTATATTGTTCTATACTGTTCTATATTGTTCTGTATTGTTCTATATTGTTCTATATTGCTCTATATTGTTTCATACTGTTCTATACTGTTCTATATTGTTCTGTATTGTTCTATATTGTTCTATATTGCTCTATATTGTTTCATACTGTTCTATACTGTTCTACATTGTTCTATATTGTTCTATATTGCTCTATATTGTTTCATACTGCTCTATACTGTTCTTTATTGTTCTATACTGTTCTATATTGTTCTATATTGTTCTACATTGTTCTATATTGTTCTATATTGCTCTATATTGTTTCATATCTATACTGTTCTACATTGTTCTATATTGTTCTATATTGCTCTATATTGTTTCATACTGCTCTATACTGTTCTTTATTGTTCTATACTGTTCTATATTGCTTTATACAAACAACACAAACAAGGAATTTTTTTCTCGCGCAACATGCATTATTTTGGAAATTTATTTTTGTTTATTTTTATTTCAAACAAATAACGATTTAATATTAATGCATCAAGGCATCAATTACTTAAAAAGAATCTGAACCGCATTGGGAAATTTCCAAAACTTTGTTTGTATCCAGTAAGCAGCAAAACGGCTGTACCGATCGGGTCCAACATATTTTGTTAGAACTCCTATGACCACAGGAAAGGTTTATAGGAACGATGCAATGCAAACATTTTTCCCGGATAAAATGTCAACACTAAACATGTATTACTTTTTTAACACAAAATTTGCAAAATTTTGTTTAATTGACTTTTAAAGTTAACAGCTGAAAGTAATGCTAAACTGCTCACTGCCCTTTCAAAATGTATTACACTCACCTTTAGTTTCCCGCATATACAGGGTTTCCCACGAAACATGACAGTAGCAAGTCAATTTGTAAGTCGTCTTTGTTCTGTGGATTAATTTGAGACATTCAGAATGTGGTCTGCCTTGTTGTGCTGACAATATTACCAAAGATATTGAAAATTTCGTTCAGATTTCAATTTGCATACAGTCGTCAGCGTTTTTATCAATACAATGAAGACGACTTTTGTTTTCAATTTTGATTTCTACAAAGAATACAGCACGTATAAATATAAATATTGAAACAAAGAGATTCTGGCAATTAACAGCTTCCCTGTGTTTACTTGTAAACTTGTACTTTGAACAATGCTGGTTAGAAATCAAAACTTACAGTTCAAAGTCGTCTTCATTATATTGATATAAACGCCGACCACTGTAAATTAAACCAAAAAAATTCAAAATCCGAACTAAATTAATCATATCTCCGGTAATATTGAAATTCAGGCATCATTTTTGAAATGTCAAGACTTTGAGCATTTTGTGACTATTAACTCTTAAATTTTAATGATAAAATTTGGTTTCTGAAGAAATATTGTAAATTATTTCAAAGATTTTAAGATTTCCAGTCGTCTTCCTACTGGCATGTTTTGTGGGACATCCTGAACAAACATCTATACATTAGAAATATTATAAACAAATGAAAAAAGAAAGAAAGAAACTTATGACATTAAATGCATCAAAAAAGTTTTTATATAATAAAAAATGATAAATGTATATATGATATATTAAAATTATATATATTGAAGGGACTGTAAAAGCGTAATTATAAGTGATCATCCAGGCCACAGTTGGAAATGCCCGATTTACAAGGGTACCCTTGAAACCTTAATCTGATCAAAAATGTGGAAGATACAGGAGTTTTTCTGACTTAAAAAGGTTGTAATAATGATCATTTCTTCATTCCTTCTTATAAGTAAAAAACCACAGTAACTTTCGCAGAGAAACCGCAAATGAAAATAAACAATTTAAAGAAACAAAAATATCCATATCATGCTTGATCAGACAAAGCTTTTAACCCTATCTCTGCTGGGGTACTTGAAAACCAGGATATGTTGGGGGGGGGTCAATTTGATCCCCCCCCTCTTAATCCCATGTTTGATGTCCAAATATGACAAATGATACATCATTAGAAAGCTCTTGTGCTCTACTTTTAAATCTGCAAAAAAATTTGCAAATTTGCACAAATTGAATTTTTTATCGCAAAATCCAGTTATATAGTAAAAATGTTTGCAAAAAAAATTTGTCCAAAAAATGAAAAATTATACATTTTTGAAAAGCCCTTGACTATGCCATTTCAAATATGCAAAAGATTTTGCAAAATTTAAAATAACCTGATTTATAATCAAGAAAAACTAAAAGTGTTCAAATTTCTTTTGACAGGTTGTTTGCAAAAAAATTGCAATTTTTTTTCGCAAAACTTGTGCAATTCGTTTCCTTTTGTCAAAGGCTTTCCAAAAAGCTAAATATCAAAATCTGACAAGTGGAAGTGGGTCAAAAGAAAGATTTAGTTTGTTACAGCAAAAAGCAGTCATTCAGGCAGTGTGCCTGAGGACTCAGGCAGTTAGTATTAAAGCCCTGTTTTAGGCCTAAAAGGAGGGCTTTGGTTATGTAGGAAAAGTCAGAAAATTTCAACAGCCTCAGACCAATACTTTTTGAGTTATGTAAAAAAAACTACAGGGGGGCAAATTGACCCCCCCCCCCCAGCAGGAATAGGGTTAAGGGTACTGAATTGTAACTCAAGCATTACTATCCTTGCATAGTGGGTCACTTGAAAATTCGCATACCTTCCCTTTAACAACACTTTCAAAATGGGGGGAGGGGGCAATTTAATACTCCCCATCTGTTTTTTTTCAAACTTTTCGAAGAAACTTTGCACAAACACATTCCAGTTTCAAATCACGAGTTAACTTGTGTTTCTAATCTTATCAACTTATTCTGCGAATTGTAAATCCTTATTTCAATCCCAGCTTTGTACAGTCCTGGTTGGAGATGTGGTCATAGGAGGTCTCTAAAAGTCTGATTGATTAATTATTTGAAAATATCTTTTTCTTAAAGTATATTTCTTTCAAAACAATCAGAGTAGAAAAGAATCACAGTATATATTTTTAAAGCGGTAAATGCTAAATATGTCTTGAAACAAAGCGGCAACTTTAGCAAACAATAAGCGTAAAAATAAGTTCTAAATCCTGCTTAATTTTATTTCCGAACATATCAAGTAAAGAAAAAGTAAATGTGCGATTTTTCACTTTCCAGTTTCTTTCTATTACCCACCAAGTAATTGCCAATTTGAAATATAACCAATTGTTTTGTAGATGTGGACGAATTGGTTAGTTTAACCATGTAGTATTTTTGACAATTTATTGTTAAATTTCGCGCAAATATTTGAACTCATCGGAAACACCTGAGACTGAGTCATTAAAAGTGTTAACTTAAAAAAATTATTCACAGAGCTGGGAAGGGGTAATTTTTAAGACTAAAATAATTTATTTAAATTTATTTACCACTGGGTCATATTGATTAGTGCTGAGAATTCCAAGCAGAACTGCGTTTGCTATTCCAGTTGTGCTGCCATCCTTGTTTACTAGAATACAGGGTGTCCCAATAAACATGAGAGTTTACTAGAATACAGGGTGTCCCAATAAACATGAAAGTTTACTAGAATACAGGGTGTCCCAATAAACATGAGAGTTTACTAGAATACAGGATGTCCAAATAAACATGAGAGTTTACTAGAATACAGGGTGTCCCAATAAACATCCTTGTTTACTAGAATACAGGGTGTCCCAATAAACATGATAGTTTAGTGACCACATCTTTATCGTCTTTGTTTCCCAATTAAACACACAGTTAACAATATAAACTACTAGTCTTGGGAATTCCAAAATGTGTTTTACAATTTACAAAATATTGACGGAGATATTAAGAAATCTGTCCAGATTACAATTTAATAAACAACAAAATCGTTAAATGTTTAAGATGTAAAGAAGGCACATTTTGAAAAGCTCATACAACGTCTTTGTTTTAATACATTCTTTGTTATTTATCAACAATCGGAAATCAAAACGATTTTTTAAGTCGTCTCTTAATTCCTTTGTTTTTTGAGACACTTTGTAGAATAGATTGTTTAATATTTACAATATTACAGTCGTGCTTCCATCCGTGTTCACTATATAGAATACATTGTTAAACATTTATAACAGTCGTGCTTCCATCCGTGTTCACTATATAGAATACATTGTTAAACATTTATAAAATACAGGATGTGCTTCCATCCGTGTTCATTATATAGAATACATTGTTAAATGTTTAAAATATTACAGTCATGCTTCCATCCGTGTTCACTATTTAGAATACACTGTTATACATTTATAAAATTCAGGATGTGCTTCCATCTGTGTTCACTATATAGAAAACATTGTTAAACATTTATAAAATACAGGATGTGCTTCCATCCGTGTTCACTATATAGAATACATTGTTAAACATTTATAAAATACAGGATGTGCTTCCATCCGTGTTCACTATATAGAAAACATTGTTAAACATTTATAAAATACAGGATGTGCTTCAATCCGTGTTCACTATATAGAATACATTGTTAAACATTTATAAAATAACAGTCGTGCTTCCATCCGTGTTCACTATATAGAATAGATTGTTCAATATTTATAATATTACAGTCATGCTTCCATCCGTGTTCACTATATAGAATACATTGTTAAACATTTATAAAATAAAAGACGTCCTTCCATCCGTGTTCACTATATAGAATACATTGTTAAACATTTATAAAATAACAGTATTGCTTCCATCCTTGTCTGCTATACAATATAGAATGTTAAATATTTTTAACTCTTTTTTGTCTATAAACTTACCTTTTTCATTAACGTAGTTAAAAATGGGCGCTCCTGCGTCACCAATCGAACTCTTGAATTCAAATATATAATTTAAGAAATTAGTTCTAGATACAAAACTGAAACCAAATTTGATAGTCAAGTTTTTGAGATCTAAAGTAAACTTGCTTTGTCTGATCAAGTATGAATTAGATATCAATGTTTAACTCTTTAAAACTTCATAATTTTTAGTTGTGGATTCCACCGTGATGAAGCCATATAGATAATATGATAACGTGAATTGGGTATATTCTTAAATAACATATTTTTATATATTTCAATGAGCCTGCCATGAGTGGTGTACTAATCATTGAATCTTCCTGATCATCCTTTACAAACATACTCTCTAAACAATATTCTCATTTATCATTCTAAACAATATTCTCATTTATCATTCTAAACAATATTCTCATTTATCTTTCTGAACAATATTCTCATTTATCATTCTAAACAATATTCTCATTAATTAATTAATTAAAAAGGTTTACCTGTATACAATCTGTTTATGTGCTAGCTGTTGTGCTACTACACACAAGTGCATGAAATCAGCATCAATTTTTAGCTGCATATGTTTCTATTAAAAATACTGTTTTAAAAACTTAAAATCCACCCAAAACCAATCCAATCGTTTTTTATTGGTCAACTAAACTCTTAGTTGCTTTTAATATTACAAAATTGTACCCGCTCTAGGCTTGCAGCTAGCTATCATAATATGCAAAATAAAGGTATGTAGAAACAAAAAAAATGATTGGTTGATTTATTTTGGTTCGTCAAAAACATTATAGTCTGGAATATAAGATTTGGATTTATAAATCTGTAGAGGAAGAGGATCTAGGTATACGGCTAGTCTACTATATCAAGATGATTTGTTTGACCTAAACAGTCTAACAAATCGTAACAAGTTTAACTACCTATTTATACTCATAAATTTCCGTTACAGCTAAGGAGTGATACACAATTATATCTATAATTTTCTACCTGGCAATCTTCTGATGATTCAACTAAACGCATTGTTTCAAGCAGAACCGGTAATTCATTCCCCCTAAACATATGTCATTCCCCCTAAACATATTTCATTCCCCCTAAACATATTTTATTCCCCCTAAACATATTTCATTCCCCCTAAACATATTTCATTCCCCCTAAACAGAATTCATTCTCACTAAAAATAATTCATTCCCCTCTAAGCATAATTCGTCCCCCTAAACATATTTCATTCCCCCTAAACATATTTCATTCCCCCTAAACATATTTCATTCCCCCTAAACATATTTCATTCCCCTTAAACATTATTCCTTCCCCACAAACATAATGCATTCCCCCTGAACATATTTCATTCCCCCTAAACATATGTCATTCCTCCTTATCAGAATTCATTCTCACTAAAAATAATTCATTCCCCTCTAAGCATAATTCGTTCCCTCTAAACATAATTAATTCCCCCTAAACATAATTCATTCCCCCTAAACATATTAATTCCCCCTAAACATAATTCAGTGCCCCTTATCATAGTTAAAGTGCAATTACGCGCGAAGTTTACAAAATTTGCAAGCAAAGGAATCGAGTCTTTGCCACAAACTTTGATTTTCTAATTCCTATATCTTTGCAACTCAATTTCGTACACCTAAGATAGTTCAAACTATGAATGCAGTTAGCTCAAATAATCAAAGTTTGAATTACTTAAGGTTTACATTATCAGGTTGCAAAGAGATAACAAAAAGTATCAGTTTGTGGCAAAGACTCAATTTCTTTGCGTGGAATTGCCAAAATTACGCAAAAATTGGCTTGGGTGGAATCCCTAAAATGCCACCAAAGATTATGACCAACCTTGCTTTCTGTGCAGTCTGGCAGACCTTGTCACAGAATCCCCAGCCTCCAAACTCTGATGGTCTAGATAGCTCAGCTTGATACAAGGATTCTCCTTCCTGGGCTTTATCATCTCCACAATATCCAGGTTCTCCTACAGATAACTAGTTTGAGAAAACAGCGTTGCTCAGGGTAAATATAGTTACTCCCGCCGTTTACCCGCAAGTCGATCCGCTCAACTTAGAATCTCAAAAGCATTTAAAGAACATTCCTATGGTTCTCCGGAGTTCCCCAATCAAAATTTGAGGACAATCAGTCCAGGGGTTCATGAGTTATATTAATCGGACAAAGAAACAAACAAAGATTACAACTTTATAGTTACAGATAACAAGCCCGCAGCTAAATTTAGTTAGATAAATTTAGTTTTTAAACTTTAGGAACTTTTTCATAAGGAAAATTCAAAATTAAGTTACAACTCAATGTTTTACATAATGTCTCTTAAACTTGTAAATGTGCTAAAAACATTATAAAAATGTTACTGTTAGATAATCATATTGTAGGTGTAATTTTTTGCATATTGAGATCTGGGTTCTGAATCTGCTGGATTACCTTTTCTAGCCTCACTGTAACAGAAACAGAAAATAACTTTTTTTTTGAAATATCAAATATTCAATTAAAAATGGACTAAAAAACTTCTTCATGAGCAAAAGTAAGCTGTTTGCTTTATTGCATTCACATTTATATTTATTTTCATCGTGCTCTTGACTTGGACATAAAATCAGATTTAGCTAGCTTTATTTCAAAAATATAATTTTTTTATTTAAAATTTAGCAATAATGTGACTTTAAAGTCATACTAAATAAACAGGACTGTTTTATTGTGTATTTATTATCTATTTAAAGGTTTTAAATTTTAAAAATCTCGTTATATTTTGTTCCTTAAACAAGTACCACACCATCCATACGGTCCAGGGTTCTCATCAAAACAGGGAATACTAAATACAAACAGAATAGAATCAGGGAATACTAAATACAAACAGAATGAAATCAGGGAATACCAAATACAAAATAAAATCAGGGAATACTAAATACAAACAGAATAAAATCAGGGAATACTAAATACAAACAGAATAAAATCAGGGAATACCAAATACAAACGAATAGAATCAGGGAATACCAAATACAAACAGAATAAAATCAGGGAATACTAAAAACAAACAGAATAAAATCAAGGAATACTTCGTTCCCATGAAAGAACGATTGTTCCCCAGAAACGTTTCCCGGCCCCAAGGGCTGGGCGAGTTCCTACTTTTTTGAAATCGCTCTTTCCGTTCCGTGGTTCAAATCCTGAAGTACCTTTCCTCTCCAATTAATCACCTGAATACTTATGAATCATTAACTTTGAATTGGTGATTAGGATTTGAACTGGTGGTAGGCAGTTCAATCATCTCTCCAATTCATTAAATTATGTCCTAGAGGTCGAAAATAACTTTAGTGTAAACTTTCATTAATATTGAACGTTTGATCTCAATATTCAATGTGGGCTCTTTTAAATTTTAGGATAAATCCCATCATTTTAGTTAAACATCAAAGAGAGTGGGGATAGTTGTCCCAACCACCTTCAATTATCTGTGCCTGGTCTTTAAATATGGTAAAAGCTATGCCTGGTATTTATATATTGTAAAAGCTATGCCTGGTATTTATATATTGTAAAAGCTATGCCTGGTATTTATATATTGTAAAAGCTATGCTTGGTCTTTATATATTGTAAAAGCTATGCTTGGTCTTTATATATTGTAAACGCTATGCTTGGTCTTTATATATTGTAAAAGCTATGCCTGGTCTTTATATATTGTAAAAGCTATGCCTGGTATTTATATATTGTAAACGCTATACTTGGTCTTTATATATTGTAAACGCTATACTTGTGTTTTATATATTGTGAAAACTATGCCTGGTATTTATATATTGTAAACGCTATACTTGTGTTTTTTATATATTGTGAAAACTATGCGGTTGAAAAAAGATTCCTCCCAACCAAAGAGAAAGATAGATTGCGCATAAGACGACATTTTTCATCCTGAAAGATATAAATGTACAGAGATGTTTTAAATATATTCCTGATGTAAAGATTAACTAGGTCGGTTGTGAACATAGGCTGTTATTGTTTCATTGAGTACTTGTGGTGTACATGAGTTCTGTAGAGAGAAATTTATGTTAGTTTAGTCCTTCTTCAGTTCTCGTCAATATGATATATTGCTCAGTGAAATATTGTTGTTCAAATAGTTCCAGTCCCGGAGTTATTTTACACTCTATTATGAAATCCATTTAAACACCAAACCACCCCGCTTATCATTGAAGTACACTTTCACCCCTACAAGTATGAGTTCGCGGACTGTACAATTCTTGGTGATTTTGCGTACATAAGCTATCTATGTTTATTTATTTATCTATGCTTCCAACTTATTATCAGAGATAAAGAGAAACTGCTGCCAAACTAAATCGTTAAATGTAGGGGGACATGTGACAAAGTTAACCCCCCCCCCCCCACGTCAAACTAAAGTAAATTTCACATATGTAAGGTTGAAATCATAACTCTTATTGAAGTTCTATTCAGAAGAAAAAAAATATTTAAAATTTCTAATATATAGCCTAGCCGGTCAAATTTTCTTTTCTCATACCTTGTGTATAATAAAAACTAGGGAGCTGCGAGGTCAAAAAGTCGCACCAATAACTTCGCAAAATTTTTATTTTCTCTGATTGTCTAGTTCACAGTGATCCCCCCCCTGTTGTACAAGCTGTACATACATAGAAGAAATTGAACCAAATATTTCGGCCCCCTTCCTGTATTAGTAGAACCCTGGAGAAGGATGAATATACAGAAACCTGATTACGAAAATAAACATGTACTGTATGCACTGTACACTGTACTGCAGTATGCTCTGAGCCAGATTTAGGTCTCAGTTGACGAAAGTCTGCTGCTTGGTAAATCAGAATTAATATTCAGGTATATAATACACTAATTAAAGCCCATTTCACATAAATCGATATTACAAGATTACATTTTCTATTCTTGATGTTTTCTATAGTTTCAGGGTTTACTATAAAGTACATGGCCAATCGTTGTTAATATTATTCTATTATTTAGAATCTCCGGTAGAGGCTGAGTGGGCGTTTCCTCTCTCCCCCTCCCCCCTTCATACTTCATCTCTCTGCGTCCTGAGAGGTTGATGTATAGGAGCAATGACGACCTCGCCAACCTTCTTGGAAAGGTCAAAGTCGTTTTTATGTTATTTTACACTGAAATAAATTATTGTACAAATTTATTGCACAGCTGTATTTTCTCTACCAGTGAATGCACTGAATTATTCTGATTCATTAAAGAGGTTTTTACGTATAGTAATGATTATCCTCTGTAAACTAAATCTAGTCTATACGACACCCCCCCCCCCTCCAATTATTTGCATGCATCCATTATCTATGATGTACACAGTAAACTCCAGTTTGCGTGTTAGATGCAGTTATCTTTACAATTTCATTTAATTAAAATATAGGTTGACATCATTTGCAAAAGAGTTCAACAATCCACAAACTTTCTCATTTTCCCCTTTATAAATAAGATGATAAATCATTTTTATTCAGTTTAGCTCAACCATTTCCTCAACAGGCTTGGAACAACAATTCATTTAGGGATTCAAATCTGTAAAATCATTCCACTCAAGATTTTCATTCTTTTAACTTAAATAAGTTTGAAATTTTCATATGACGTCAAATCTTTTAATCAAAAAACTTAAAATAAATGCGTGGAAAATTGAATAAGAAATGATAACTTTATTACGTTAAATTTTGGTCTATAAGAAATTTCAATCAAAAAGGTATATTAATAAAAAGCAAAAGCGAAAAATAAAACATAAAAGTAAACAAAGAGAAGCAGTCAATTAAAATGGAGAATATTTTTTGTCATTTATTGTCATGATTTGATAGAAATGAAACCTTAAATAAAAGATCGTCATTATTAATAAATATGTATTGATATGAAAGCCAACCACTGCAGAGCTAGGATTTGGTTTAAAGATTTAAATCTGGCAGAGATGATGAATTCAATACATGCTTTGTTTGTTTATCTTCTACTGAACCTATTGGTATCAACGATGAAAACTCATCCTCAAAGTCTTTCTTCATTCTATGGGAGTGAGGTTGAGAATCCTTTAAGACAAGTTGACGCAATGATGGAATCAGAAAATCAAGATCAAACAACACTTTCAGACATTGAAATAGATGAAAGTGTTACTGAGAAAATGACTTATGCTCTTTTAAATGACCTTGTGGATCAAAAGGAGAGGTTCGGAAAGCAGCACTTGAACAATATTTATCTCCAAAACTTGTCCCCCAACTACCCTCAACATGCCCAATCTTCAGAAATTCCTCAAACCCACACTCTAGCTCAGAAAAACAGGGTTCTAGTGGATCAGTTGGGTAACAGCTTTAAGATTGGTCAATTTCGCTCCATTTTGGCAGAACTAGATGAGAAATCAGTCCAAAATGTAAAGGAATCAGTAGAACCAGAAGTAAGGATAGAAGAAAATAAGGTTAAATGTGTTGAAAAGGTAATGCAAGTTGAGGAAATTGTTCATGATAATATCATAAAGTGTACACACTCATTTACAGAAAAATGCCATAACATTTTTATCACAGATTATGCACCATCTCAGGAGGAAAAGTGTTCAACAAGCTTTGAAAAGAATTGCCATATCACCTACCAACCAATGGCCTTTGATGAGAAGGTGGAGATTTGTGATGAGCCCTTGAAGAAAGTTTGCAATGATTCTATAACTGGAGAGGAGGTTTGTCGGACTGAGTATGAAACTTCCTGTGAAACCAGGTACAAGATCCATACTGTAGAGCAAGATGAACCTGTTTGTAAAATGGTTATGGAGAAGAAGTGTGATGGTGTTGTGGTAGACAATCAAGATCAAGCAAACAATGGAAGAGGAAGGCGATCAATTGCTAGAATAGAAAATGGAGAAGAATTTATCCGACAAGCAGAAAACTGTGAAGAATGGCCAGTACAGAAGTGTACCCTGGAGAAGAAAACTGTCACTAAATCCAACCCTGAAACTTCTTGTCAGAAGCATCCTAAAAAAGTTTGTACAACATCCAACTGTAAATTTGTTCAGAGTGAGAAGACCTGCAGAGAGGAAACAAGAAGTCTTGTTCAAAATATTCCAAGTGAGGATTGTGACCTTGAGCCTAGGGAGACCTGTAAACTGGAAACAGTTCTAGTTCCACGTTTAGTTGAGAAACCCAACTGTGTTCAGGTTCCAAAGGAGATATGCGTTGAAGGAAAGACTAATCCAAGAAAGGTATCAAAGCCTGTTGTAAAGGAATGGTGCTACCGCCCTCAGGACTTCCAAGCTAAGTCCACCAAGGAAGCATTAGATCTTGTTCTGAACCAGTTGAAGTAAAAGTTTTTCAGAAGAGCTAAGACTAAGGGGAAAATTTGTAGAAACTTTTTACTACAAGATTGTTTTCCATGATGGAACATTGGTTACATCCCAGATAGTGATTTATGATTATCTATTATAGTTTTAAAGTAAAATTTCTTTGGATATATTTTTCAATTGTACTGGTTATGGGAGTTTCAAAATGTGTAAAATTGTATTGGTTTATATACTACTTGTATTCTAATTGGAATAAATCTTTTGATTATTGGTAATTTTTATATTTAAATTCTGTAATTTGTTGAGAATTAAGATATAACAATGTTTTTCAGCTATAAACTAGTTTTAAAGACAATTATAAAATTCCCTTAAATAAAGTAAGTAAATTAAGTAAAGTTTTCAATGCAGAGAGTCAATTTCAAAATAAGCATAAATGGTTCATCAGTTTTTTCTCTTTACATAACATGTGAAAGATATTCTTTCAAAACTTATAAAAAAAATTTTTACATCCTGATGAAATAAAAATAATTTTAGCTATGAAATTATCATGCATAAAACCCTTTAGTAATTTAACATTGGTCCGGCTAGATGTCATAAATGGGTTTTTGCAAATATTCAAACTCTGGATATCTGTATTAAGTAAAGACAAAGTTCTGAAAGAAAAACTTTTGATTTCTTTCCAGCTGCAGTGCATGGTACCATACAGGTTAAAAAAAAAGTTTAAAAGATGAAAAATCTTTAAAAGATGAAAATTAAATTCGAAAATAATCTTTAAATGTGGTTCGTTGAAGTATTTTTATTGTTCTAAAGCAAAAACATCAAAAACTGGATATTGAAGTGTGTTTCTGGTACTTTTTGAACTGTATCACAAGCATTAGGCATTGTAAAAATCTTTTTTTTAACCAATCTAAAGGTTTTGTTGAACAGATTCTAAAACTACCTTGGGATTTACTCAAAATACCCTTTAGTACTGAATTTATCTTAAAGTTCTGAAGAAGTATCTAAAAAAAAGATGTTTTTCCTGTCCTCTCGATGTGAGGAGGACATTTCTCCCAGTGCAAGAAAATTTCTTAATGTTATAGCATTAAAAAGTTATGTTTAAAACCCATTTGTGACATGAGCATCTTTTGCAGCACATAAATTCAACCACTGATTAACTATCTAACTATCTATGCTAGACCTTTCAACTTTTTTTCTGCAAATAAATACACTTCAAATTTTGTCTGCCAGGCCCAGATGGCACCTGTATCAATATTTTTAACTAAGGCTAAAAACTTTTGAGAAATAAATCATAGCAATTGTTATATATTTTTTGGTTTCTTCCAAATTTTGTTTAATTTGAGTTTATTTCCTTATATTATTTTGATAAAATGTTGCGCGCGATTATAGACGTTCCCGGATTAACCTATTATGGCACACATATCAAATTACACCTTACGATGACACTGCAAAAGTTACACTATACACTATACACTATACACTATGTACTATACACTATATACTATACACTATACACTATACACTATACACTATACACTATACACTATACACTATACACTATACACTATACACTATACACTATACACTATACACTAATACACTATACACTATACTCTACACACTGCACACTGCACATTGCACACTGCACACTGCAAACTGAAAACTGCACACTGTTAAATCCATACTGCATGCTGAACACTGGAGTCTGTATGCTACACACTTCACTCTGCAAACTTCACAAAATACACTATACACTATACACTATACACTATACACTATATACTACACACTGCACACTGCAAACAATACACTATACACTATACTCTACACACTGCACACTGCACATTGCACACTGCACACTGCAAACTGAAAACTGCACACTGTTAAATCCATACTGCATGCTGAACACTGGAGTCTGTATGCTACACACTTCACTCTGCAAACTTCACAAAACACACTTCACACTGTACAGTGTACACTGTACAATTCAAACTATACACTGTATGCTGCACACTTTACAATGTACACTATATGGCGCACACTTCATACTATACACTGAACACTGTTCACTAAAGATTGCATACTGCAAAATGTACACTAACTCCTGCACACTTGACACTACACAATGCAGTTCACACTTATGCTGCACATTTCACATTGTAAACTGTATACTGCACACTGCAAACTAGACACTTGACATTGCACAATGCAGTGCACACTGTACACTGTAAACTGTACACTGATCACTGCACACTGTATACTGCACACTGCACTCTGTACATTGTACAGGCGCGCAGTGGAGGTTTAGCCTAGGGGGGTGCAATTTTTTTTGTGCACCCCCCTAACGGTTTATGTGGACCCCCTAAAAAACCGGTATTAAGAAAAAATAAAGTTTAAAATCAATATTAATCTACCTGAAGGCTGACTATTAGTCATTTGACCATAATTACCAATCAAGTAGTAAAAGAGCAAAAACCTAAAAAAAACATTTTTTTATTTTTGAAATAGATTTTAAATGAAACCCCGCAAAAAAAAAATATTGTAGATAAGATTAAGGTACAAAAAAGAATTTGAAAAATAATCATAAAATGGACATATTGTGACATTGTCGATTGATAAGAAAAGTAAAAGATCTGAATATATATGTAAGTTTACTGTTTAATAAATTAGAGCCTACCTCTGGTTCTAGGGGGGTGCATGACACTGTATACTGCAAACTGAGTACGGCAAATGTACACTGTAAACTGCACAATGCAACACTGCAAACAGCACACTGCAAACTTCAAAAAGCGAACTGAGTAAGTCAAATGTATAAAATTGTACACTGCTTACTACAAACTGCACACTCTTAATAGGTCCGTGCCAGAATAGGTTAATCCGAATGCGTTAATATCTCAGAATATATATAATATAGAATAACAGGTGGCACCTGTATTGGTATGACATTGTGAACATGTATTGGTATGTTATTGTGTACATGTAGTACACTGTTCTTGGGGGGATTTGTTTTGATCAGTTACATGATTTCTCATGCAGTATAAACAAGCATGAGGTATTGTTCAGTGTTAAATTGTAACACGGATCAAACATACAAGATTAGATTTCATTCTTTTCCAAAAGATGAAAAGTTAAAAAAAAAACGTAGAGTAACTTCACAGGAAGGCCAGGTTTCTGGACTCCGGGAAAATTTAGTGTTTTCTGTGCGAAACATTTTGAAAACAAAAACGTTTCCGGACGAAATTTAATTTATAACGCTGTTCCCAGTCTCCATCCTCCCCACCATCCACATCAACAGGAACAGCTAGATAATGGAGAGAGTTGACACATAGAATTCGCCAAAGTATCGCTATCATCCCAAGAGATTTAATAGTTTGAAAGGTCTTCCAACTTTAATGTGTTCTTTGTGTGTAAGGGGAGTCTGATTGTCATCATTATCACTCACATATCGGTAGCAAGCAGCAACTAATCTTCGTTCTAATCCTTTGAAATTCAACTTTTAACTAGTATGTCTGCAATATTTGTAAACAAACCCCCCATAAATTTGTACAGAGTACTAATATACTTGCCGCAAACCTTTATATCCAATGTACTGTATGTCAGTAGCTAGTCCATAGCTAATTTGCCATTTTCAATTTCAACTGTAACTCTCCGGTATGGTGTAGACGACATGAACAATCTATTCTAATTTATCTAGGGTTGATATAGACGTAAGAAAAAAGGTTCATGCTGTGCATTTTAGCAAAAAAGTTTGGAAACTTTAATTTATTAAAGAACCCTAAGGAAGCTGTCCTTGAAATTTCATGTAATTCTGTCAACAGGGGAGCTGGTTGGTATCAATGGGTTTCAAAGTTTAAGGAAATGTTTAGGGAGCTAAGACCCACCAACACAAATGTCCCAACATGTAGTTGGTCTCAGAAATTTAAGGTTTAGACCTTTATGTTGCATAATTTATTGTCCCATTAATATGACTTTTGCAAGATACATTTCCAATTTGTTCAGATAAGTTAGCAGCTACAGATCAAGTTTTGCGCTATTTTTTCGCAACTGCAAATACCCTACCAGCTCGCTATTTAAAAACTTTGACTCGAGCCGTAATTCCTTAAACCCAACTTTAAGACCAGACCTTTGACCCAACTCTGATGTCAGCTTGTATCATGTGGATTGACAGCTTCAAGATCTTCGGCTTGACTTAAGGAGTAAGACACAAGGAAAATGAAACCGACCATGGTTGGTGATAGTGGAGAATAAGGCTCAGCGTTGAGTATTGTTCTCATAAAAACCCAGAATGAGTAAATTCCTACCATGAAAATCTGCCGAATAGAATATTAAACCGGTTTTTTAAACTCAAATCTGTGGAAAATAAGATGCAGCTTGAATCCGAAAGCTCAAGCAGTAAATAAGGCTCAACGACAGCTTAAACCCTAACCGTATTTTCCCGAATTTTTAAATTGCGGGCTCTTCAAGCATTCAAGGGTTATTGATTTCTATTTGTGCTACTTATACTTTAAACTAAGATATATAGAATATTTCTGCATTCATTTTTATTACAAATTGTATGACCACAAGCACATTCAAAATTGAAATATTGTGCTTGGAAAAATGATCACATTGATTTTTTTTTATTTTTTTTTTTGCACCAATTCTAACAGAGCAATTCATAAAATATTGCAAATATACAATAAAATTGCAAATTCAACAACAGGTAAAGGCTAAAATTGTTATTGAAAAAAAGAGGCGGAAATGGACCTTAAAGCCTAGTTTAGAATAAAAAGGTAGAAGTAAATTGAATTATTCTAAAATGTCATTCCTATATTAGCAACAAAAAGGAGGGGAAGGATTGCAAAATAATAAGCAATTAAGGAGGGGAGAAACCAACAATAGTTTTGATCAAAGCCTTTCTTTGAAAATCAGGGTGTGACCATCAGTATAAAGGATAATAGATTCTTTTACTCCCCAAGATAAATCCTAAAACTGCCAAATAGTCATCTGCAACTCCAAGAGCAATGTCTCTCTGACAAAATACTACTGATAAGTATAAATTACAAAACTTTCAACCATTTATTCCCAGTATCAAATACATATTTTATATTAATAATTAGGGATGTTAACGTTTTCATTTTTCAGAAAAACGAGCGTTTAGTTATGAAAACTACGACGATAAATCGGAAACAAAACAATCGTTTTTAAAAACGATCGTTTTTTTAAAAGTTCGATTTTTTTAAAATGGTCATTTTTAAAATGATCGTTTTTCAAAATGCTTGTTTTTAAATACGATCGTTAATGATCGTTAACGCCAACCCTTTTTTTAACGAACGTTAACAACAACCCCTTCATTAACAATTGTTAACCAAGAGAGGAAACCGACCTGAAGGGCATCTGTACTATCATTGAGTAGTTTATAAGAAAATATCAAGGAGTTTTAACTCCCCCACAACTGTTAAACTTCATGTAAGATGACGTTCAGTAAAGTTGCATAATTTTTTTTTTAACAATCGTATGAAAAAATCGTTTTAATAAAAATCGTTTTCTAAAAGTTCAAAACGATTGGGTCGTTTTTAAAAACGTTAGTTTTTGTCAGAAAACGGAACGATCCTTTTTGAAAACGAAACAAAAAACGATCGTTTAACAATCGTTTACAAAAACGATTAACAACCCTATTAATAATTAATAGTAACTAGCCAAAACCAACAAGATAGAAAATAAATCAAATAAAAAAATTAGAAATATTGAAAAGTATTTAAGAAGTAATATGAAATGTGGAAGACCATAGTATAAAGTGATAATTGATTTCTCAGACATTGTTTCAGGATCGAATGCCCAGCCTCAAATATAGTCATCATCTACTTATTGAGCTTGTTCAGAAGAAGATCTAATACTTCCTTGGTGGAGCTTGCTTGGAAGTCCTGAGGGCGGTAGCACCATTCCTTTACAACAGGCTTTGATTCCTTTCTTGGATTAGTCTTAACTTCAACACAAATTTCCTTTGGAACCTGAACACAGTTAGGTTTCTCAACTAAACGTGGAACTAGAACTGTTTCCAGTTTACAGGTCTCCCTAGGCTCAAGGTCACAATCCTCACTTGGAATATTCTGCACAAGACTTCTTGTTTCCTCTCTGCAGGTCTTCTCACTCTGAACAAATTTACAGTTGGATGTTGTACAAACTTCTTTAGGATGCTTCTGACAAGAAGTTTCAGGGTTGGATTTAGTGACAGTTTTCTTCTCTAGTGTACATTTCTGTACTGGCCATTCTTCACAGTTTTCTGCTTGTCGGATAAATTCTTCTCCATTTTCTATTCTAGCAATTGATCTCCTTCCTCTTCCATTGTTTGCTTGATCTTGATTGTCTACCACAACACCATCACACTTCTTCTCCATAACCACTTTACAAACAGGTTCATCTTGCTCTACAGTATGGATCTTGTACCTGGTTTCACAGGAAGTTTCATACTCAGTCCGACAAACCTCCTCTCCAGTTATAGAATCATTGCAAACTTTCTTCAAGGGCTCATCACAAATCTCAACCTTCTCATCAAAGGCCATTGGTTGGTAGGTGATATGGCAATTCTTTTCAAAGCTTGTTGAACACTTTTCCTCCTGAGATGGTGCATAATCTGTGATAAAAGTGTTGTGGCATTTCTCAGCAAATGAGTGTGAACACTTTATGATATTATCATGAACAATTTCCTCAACCTGCATTACCTTTTTAACACATTTCACCCCATTGTCTGTAGCAATATCTTGTACTAAAATAGTTTCAGTGCTTGTTTCATCTTCAATAAACTCTGTGTCATTGATTGGATCTTCTTCTAGTAAATCTACATTGTTTCCAACTACAGGATTTTCAAAATTGATTTGGCGTAGATGAGATGGAATTTCAGCTAACTTGAAAGTGTTTCCAAACTGGTCAATCAGAATCCCATTTTTCTGAGCTAGTGCAAGGGTTTGCAGAACTTTAGGAGCTTGGGGCTGATTTTCAAGGTAATGAAGAGGATATTGACTTGGAGACAAAAGTTGAAGATCAATTATGTGCTGCTTCCCTGTCCTTTCTGCTGTTGTTTCAAGATAATTAGGAAGATTATTGGTAATTTTCTTAGTGATGTTTTCGTCTTCTTCAATGTCCGTAACGGTTGTTTGATCTGTAGCTACAGTAGTGATCTCAATAGGTTCTGGAGCATCATCTGATAGTCCAAATGTATTTTTAATGTTTCTGCTTTCACGCTCAGCAGAACTTAATGCTGAGGGCATTGAATGTCTCTTAAAAATCTCAGAGGGGTGAGCTTCTATTGCTGAAGCCATGAAGATAAGAAGAAGGCAAATACTTAAGATTGGATTCATCTTTCTTGTCAGTTCTGATTATCAAGTTTCTAAAATCCAAATCCTTAATTACTAGAAGGGAAACTAAAATCTTAAATATGTAGAATAAATTCCAAAATATTGTTAGATTCCTTAAGTACTAAAGGATTGGATCCCTGATGTTTCAAGTCTCCTGAAGAAAAGGCTGAGTTGAACTGAAGAATGATGTCTCCGTGTCTTCCTTATAAAGGGAACCAAGGGAAAGCAGAGAGTATTGAACTTTTGAGAAATTTGTGAACCCGTTATGATTTAAGATTCATCCATGATATAATCTGACAGGTATATGCTAAAATGGAGCTATTAGTATAATTAAATATATATATATATGTATTAGTTGCACATGTCACTCGTTTTTTTTAATTATTAGTGGTTGCAAAAACATGTTATTCTTATCACTAACCTATATATTTAGTCCTAGCATGCAAAACCTCTTAATTAAATGTCTATGTTTGAACTTAATATTTTTCAAAATATTTTTTTTTAGATTTTCAATCTTTTTTGACATGTTCCCTGAGGAACAGAACTATTTTAATTTTTTTCATACAATGCATAGTTTTAGAGATAGGGACAGCGGTCGATATCAACCGCTTCGTCAACACGGGATTTTAAAATGGCCAAAAAAATATACTAAGTATTATATATACTGTTCAGAAATTATTCATTTTCTCCCGTACATTCACATAAATCATGTTTCCTTCCCATCATGTACCATACCATCCCATCCATCCCTTCCCATCCCTACCTACAATGCAGTTTATATTATTCTGATACTTGGGGAAGCCGTCTATTTTGCCCTACTGTTATGTCCCCCACATGTGCGAAGCGGTCGATAACGACTGCTCAAAAAAACTGCCAAAATTATACTTAAACAATAATTTTGACCATTAAAATGTGAATTATATAAAAAGTTGTGGAAGACGATGCCTGGCCGCGTTAAACAAGTTCCACAAGATTCAACAGAATGAGATAGAACAGATACGGGGCATAGTACTGATAAAACATCTACACGTGTGATATCGATATTGACTCTAGTTCTGAACCCTCTAGTAATAAGTTATAAGAAATATATATACTGGAAGTTATTTATGCGTTTTTATTAGAGTCTGACTCACGTCCTCTATAAAGTAATTACTTTAGAAGTATTTTTTAAAACAAAAATCACGAAAATGTTAACTCCGTAAAAAAGTGGAGGGGGTCTCACATTTTTGTCTAATTTTTGCGTATCCTCACAATACCTATCAAGATCTTCACTGAATGAAAACAAAAACAAGCAAAAATATGCTTGAACTTGGTTTCTGGGTTCTCAAGTTACGCAAAACTTAAAAAAAAAAAAAAATAAGGGGGTAATGGGTAACTAAAGTGAGCGGTCGATATCGACCCCTTCGTAAATAAACAGTTAAGTAAATATAAATACAAGATTTAATCATATTCTGTATTGCACAGTTTATATTAAAGACATGCATTAAGACATGCTTTGTATTATGAATAACAAGTAGATATTGTGCTTAGTATTATGAATAACAAATTAATATTGTGTTTTGTAATATGTATAACAATTTGATATTGTGCTTTGTACAGGGTGTCCCAATAAACTTGGGAATTGAGAGACGACTTGAATATCGTCTTGTATTCAAATAATTGATAAATGACAAGAAGTGCATCAAAAAGCTGGAGAGCTTTCCAAAATGTGGTCTACCTTTTTTGTTTCTTAAAAAATGGACGGAGAAAATAAACATTTGAACAGTTTTGATAATTTTTAATAAACTGGAATCTGGACAAATTTTTTAATATCTCCGTCAATTTTGAAGAAAAAATGGTAAAGCACATTTCTATAATCCTGAGACTAGTAGGTTTTGGTGTTAACTGTTTTAATCGTGATACTACAAAATTATGTTTACGAAATTATCTCGCAAGGAAAAAAGACGATATAGAAGTCGTCACTTAATTTTCATGTTTATTAGGGATGGGACGCGAATAAAGAATAAATAGAGCAGTGTTATCTTCTAGCTAGGGATGGTAACCTGAATATAGAATAACTAAAGCAGTGTTATCTTCTAGCTAGGGATGGTAACCTGAATATAAGATAACTAGAGCAGTGTTATCTTCTAGCTAGGGATGGGAACCTGAATTTAAGATAACTAGAGCAGTGTTATCTTCTAGCTAGGGATGGTAGCCTGAATATAGAATAACTAGAGCAGTGTTATCTTCTAGCTAGTGATGGTAACGTGAATATAAGATAACTAGAGCAGTTTTATCTTCTAGCTAGGGATGGTAACCTGAATATAAGATAACTAGAGCAGTGTTATCTTCTAGCTAGGGATGGTAACGTGAATATAGAATAACTAGAGCAGTGTTATCTTCTAGCTAGGGATGGGAACGTGAATATAGAATAACTAAAGCAGTGTTATCTTCTAGGTAGGGACGGGAACGTGAATATAGAATAACTAGAGCAGAGTTATCTTCTAGCTAGGGATGGGAACGTGAATATAGAATAACTAGAGCAGTGTTATCTTCTAGGTAGGGACGGGAACGTGAATATAGAATAACTAGAGCAGTTATCTTCTAGCTAGGGATGGGAACGTGAATATAGAATAACTAGAGCAGAGTTATCTTCTAGCTAGGGATGGGAACGTGAATATAGAATAACTAAAGCAGTGTTATCTTCTAGCTAGGGATGGGAACGTAAATATAGAATAGCTAGAGCAGAGTTAATTGTTTGTATTAAATTGATTTATTTTACAATCTGAGTTGAATGTTGCAACTTTCTAAATTTGTGTGGACACTACGTTCTTTGGTCGTTTTTAACAATTTTAGACGCAACAGATAGAAGTAAGATTAGAAGCGATCAAAAGCGCTTATTTTTCGCCGTAAGCCTATACCCCCTTTAATTTTTCGCGAACACTCCCTTTAACTTAACAATAAGCATATTATAATTTTTTATACAGACACTAGACATTAAACTGCGCCATAAAAAATATTAAGCTTTCTGAGATATGTCAAAAATTGTGTCAACTAAGAGTTTTCAGTGTTCACACTAACCTTTACCCCCGACCTAACATATATATATACAGGGTGTCCCAAAAAACATGGGAATTCAGTGACGAATTGGATATCGTCTTTGTTATGAATTAGCACTGTAAAACCTATTTTCAAAAGCCATAATATTATTATGTCTGCTAGAATTTATTTTATGAAAAGATTAAAAGACTAAGATGTGTCTATAATGTCTCCGCAAGATGAACAGTGAAGACGGACAGGTTTACTCTGTTTGTATACTGCAATTTTCTTGTTTTACTAAGTACAATAACCTTAAAGGGACTGTAAGCGTAATCTAGTTTATAATTAAACCTTAAAGGGACTGTAGACGTAATCTAGTTTATTATTTAACCTTAAAGGGACTGTAAGCGTAATCTAGTTTATAATTTAACCTTAAAGGGACTGTAAGCGTAATCTAGTTTATAATTAAATCTTAAAGGGACTGTAAGCGTAATCTAGTTTATAATTTAACCTTAAAGGGACTGTAAGCGTAATTGCAAGTAACCTTACATGCAAAGATGACATTATCTGGTTCACAACGTTACCCTCAAAGGCTTTGTCTGATCAAGTATGATTTAGATATCAATGTTTCTAATTTTGAAAACTGATCGTTTTCAAATGCGGTTTCTTTACAAAAATGACTTGCGCATTTCTACTGCTAGAAGATCATAAAGTAATTATCAGATTTATATATAATTTTTATCCTATAAAAAGGCAAATGTTATCCACATAATTCAAAACATAAAGGTTTCAAGGATACCAATGTACACCGGGCATTGTCATCTTTGCATGAAGGGTCACTTTAAATTAAGCTTATATACAGTCTCTTTATATACAAAGGTCGTCCTCATTTTATTAATATGAACGCCAACCCTTCTAGTTTAATCATACTTGTATAAGATTATGTTTTTTTATAAAATTTTGATGACCCAATATGGCAAAGTTCTCTTGTCTTGATTTAAACACATATCTAGCACAGAATGGAACTAAAAATAGGCAGACTTACGAAAATATTCATGGTTCGGTTGTTTCCTTAAAGTGTCTTTTATTTGTTTGGTTTGGTTTGGTTCCTACCTAACAACATCATTGGTTTAGTTTGGTTCCTACCTGACAACATCATTGGTTTAGTTTGGTTCCTACCTGACAACATCATTGGTTTGGTTTGGTTCCTACCTAACAACATCATTGGTTTAGTTTGGTTCCTACCTAACAACATAATTGGTTTAGTTTGGTTCCTACCTGACAACATCATTGATTTGGTTTGGTTCCTACCTGACAACATCATTGGTTTAGTTTGGTTCCTACCTGACAATATCCTGAGTTTGGTTTGGTTCCTACCTGACAATATCATTGGTTTGGTTTGTTTCCTACCTGACAATATCATTGGTTTGGTTTGGAAATCTTCGCTCTCTTTCTTTTGGGTCTATCTGTCTAAATATATATTTCTAACCCATCAATAATATTAGAAAATTTAATTTTCTGTCGAGAAAATTAAATATTAGAAAATAGAAAACGAATAGAATTGATTTTATACATTTTTAGTTTAGCTAAACATCACAATAAAAAGAAACTGAACATTTCTTTTTAATTTAACTTGTAAAAGTACATTTTAAACAATTTTACACAATAATAATACTTGTCAAAAATGCATGGGTTGACATTTTTTCCTGTGAAATATTTTTCTTGATAATCAAACTTTTTAAATCATTAGGCAGCATCGTGGACCAGTTCATAAACCGTTGCAGCATCAAACATTCCTGAGCTCTTAAATAAAATATAGGAAAATAAAAAAGTATTATTTTAAATAGTTTACTCATTCATGAATCTTATTTAGACGTTCTTTATGATCTAGGCATGTGCTATGCCTAGATGTGTGTTTTGCTTTAACAAAACTTTATTTTAAAAGAGAAGATTAAAAGTTTAACCATGGTGCTCATTTTAAATAAATTTTTTTACTCAAATTCAGAAAAGAAACGAAGAAAAAATAAAAGTAACGGAAAAAAAAATAATTTATTTCAACCACTGGAAATAAAACCAAACTAAATAAAAACTGAAAAAAAAAACTATGCCAGTAATGAAAATAAACAATTTCTCAGCTCTTGAATTTTCGTTAAAGAAAATAAAAGGAATTGAAGTGTATTTTCATTCTTTTACTTAGGTTTTACGTTTTACTGATCATAACCGTTAAGTTTACTATCCCATTATATTACTGTCTAAAATAGATTGTTCTCCCAAGGTTTACCTACAGTGAGAACCAGAAAACTCTGAAATAGGAAGACGACGTTTAGACACACGTTATTTATTACTAAGTGATTAAGTTGCTCAAATAAAGTTAATTATTGTTTCAATCTCGTCTTCTTATTTCACAGTTTTCTGGTTCTCCTGTATAACAAGCATTCATATACTTTTTTATTTATTAAAAGATATTTACATAAAGGTTGCCTTAATTAACATACAAATAAAATTAAAATGAAATGTCGTCTTTGATTTCAAAATAAAGTGACCCTCCATGCAATGTTGGCAATGCCCGATTCACAAGGTACCCTTGAACATATATCTTGATCTGAAATGTGGAAGATTGGGTACTCTTGTCAATCGGGCATTGCCCTCTTTTGTCCTTTGCAGTTTCACTTATAGTCCATTTAATATATAAAAAATGGACCAGGATGTCATTGTCATTATTTTCAATATATTTGAGAAAACTTCAGAACTGGTGCAAGGTGGATTTGAGCATTCTTATCGAAACAGGGCCAAATAGTGTTCCCCTTGTGGTGTAAATATAAACTTAAATCCCCTGTTTACTACATATAACATACCTTATTGTCGTTGCAAAGTTGCATCCCTTGAAGATTGAAGGCTCATTTTTTGTCAAGTAATGTTTACACATCGCCTGCAGGATCAAATTTAAGAATAATTTAATAATATTGTGTGCGATTTTATTGTTAAATTGATTAACAAAACAAAATAAACAAAAAAATTAAAAAAGTATATTCTATAAGAGAACCCCAATAAAAACTTTAATATAAATTGAATTAAAATTCAAATTTTATTAATGAACCACAATCCCATTTTACAAGTAAAAGATTTATTATCTTCATAATAAGTACCTATGCAAAGGACATGAGTCTTTGCAACGAGCTTTGATTTTTTTATTTCTATATCTTTGCAACCCAGTGTAGTAGACCTTAGATATTTAAAAATATGAATTCTGTCAGATCAAATAATCTAAGTTTTAATTATTAAGAATTTACAACATCAGGTTGCACAGATATAGGGATTATAAAATTTGAATTTGTGGCAAAGACTCAACTCCTTTAATATATCCCCTAATAAGACAGTGGGGTTCATCTTACCCATTGCTTACTTTTTATCTATATTTTGTAAAATGTTTTCAAACGTTTAAATAAATAAGGATTGAATGAATTTTTATCAAAATTTGATTTCCCTTTCTAGGTCCAGCAACTGTGTGGCATCTAAAAAGAAAAAAAGGTAAAAAGGTTTTAAGGGAAAAAAGTTATGCAGCAACAATTAATCAAAAACATCGCCAAATTATCAGATTTCTTTTCAACTTTTTTAGATTTATAAGATTCTAAAGCTTTTCTGGGCCACCACTTTAATATGCACACTTTTAGCTTTAAACTGTTGCTCTTTCAGTTGCCGTTTATTTTCAATTGTTATTCACTAGAAAATAATTTGCGGATTTTCTGTTTGATTTGGTGTATTTGAAAAAATAATAAATGCCGACATTTTTCTCCGGACATCCTAACATACAATACATACTTGTTAGTGGAGAGCAGGGGTGGGAGGTTAATTTATGAGTCCAGTGTTATCATCTGTTTAGTGCTTGCGTAAAAGTAATTGATATCTTAGGAACACAAGACTAATAAAAGGGACTCCTTTTAATTTTGTAAACATAATGTTGAAACAGAAAAAAAGGCTAATTATTGCATACTTACTTATCTGCTTGCGCAACTTTTCTATGGAAATGAAAATTAAATCCACTGATAAAAACTTTCTGATATTCGTCTGCAGAAAAATTACCCTAAACAATACAGTTCTAGTTTTATATGAAACAAAATGCTGTAAGTAAAATATGTGACCCTCCATGCAAAGATGACAATGTCCCATTTACAACGGTACCCTTGAAAGCTTAAACTGTTCATTTCATTTAAGGTTTCTCTGCGAAAGTTAATTGCGCATTTCTTGATTTTAAGAAAAAATGAAGAAACTCACAAGAATCAACACAATTTGAAATCAGAAAAGCGACGGTTTCTTCCACATTTTTGATCAGATTAAGGTTTCAAAGGTACCGTTGTAAATCGGGCATAGCCAACATTGCAAGGAGGGTCACTTGAAATTACGCGTACAGCCCCTTATACACACATTTCCCTTAAATCTAGGGTTCATAAATATAATCTTTTCTTTTTAAAAATGAAACTGTGAAAAAGAATCTCATTGTTTACAGACAGTTTAGTTTTAAAAAGAAGATTAAGAATGTAATGAATATTGTGTAATACTATATTTTTAACCTGAACATACCTATATATATATAACGTTGTACATTGTCTGTAAACCTAAATGCGCTTGTAAATACCTACGCATAACTTGTATTGCGATTAACCTAACCTAACTACGTCTGTATATAAATAAATCAAACCTGTATTGTGATTAGCTTAACTACTCGTGTATATAACGTAGTAAAACTTGTAATTACGTTGATTAACTTAACTTGTAAAATAGAACCCAAAATACATTTAGTTGGAATTAAACTCTGCTTTCATTACGGTTAGCAAACGAGAAGCGTCCTGCATCCCTTCTATTGAAAGATAAACGTTGGGAATTGATACAGATAAAGTTGTGTCCAGATTGACATTGATAGTAAAGTATTGATATAGATAAAGTCGTATCCGGATTGACATTGATAGTAAAGTATTGTTGAACTGACTAGTTCTTGTGCCTCACCGATCATAGCGAGAGGGATTGGGTTGTATCTTGAAACATAGTTACCTGAGAATACGGAAGTATATGCCTGGATTGGTACCCTATTACAGAACTGAAAGGTTCTGTGCCTCAAGGATTATTGAGAGGGATTGAGTATTGAACAGAATAGTTCTTATGCCTTGTGGATTAACGAGAGTTGTACCTGGATTGATACGGGTGTAAACAGATTTATTGGAGTAGGGCATTTACTACAAGCAAAAGAAAGCTTTTCCAGTCAGAAATAAAAAAGTACTTTAAATGAGTATAGGGGGGTTGCTACATAATGATTTAACCTGAGGGAGACATATTGGCATTACGTCATCAGACCAAACAAAGGGCATATCAACCTTCACCATCACAACGTCATTCTTTATCTTGCTTTTATCCTAAAATATAATTATTGATCTTATTTTTATATTATTCTTAATTTTGTTTGTCCTAAACTTATATTTGTTACTTTTTTATTAACTATCATTCATCATTTCGTTTTTGTTCTAATGTTCATGAGTATAAGACGAGATGCTGTAAAAGAAAAAACATTTTAAAATTTCGGACTAGATATCTTAGTAAAGAATCAATTGATTAAAATAGTTGTTTCTGAATTGAATATAAAATTACATATATTCGCTATACACTAAAAAAACGAAAAATATTAGCAAAAGCTAACAATTTTAACATTTTCCAAAGAAAGTTTTTTGAACTGCTTGCTTACCCCTCCTTCTTTAAACTGAAATCTTTGGAGGATTTACAAACAACGATTTGCGAATTTTCTATGATGTGTTTTTAAAAAACTTGTTAAATTTTCTTAAAAATCAAATAATGAAAAGCAAAGGTGCATACATATAGTTCAATAATCTTCATAATTAAAATGGCCATAACTCTTAACATTGGAGCATTTCACCCCCCCCCCCTTCCTCCTCCTTACTACAAAATATATCTATTGTAAAAAAATGTATGCATCATTTTCTAAATTGTAATTCTTTGAAAGACTAATTAAAAGAAAGATAAATAATTTTTAATTATTTAAGCAATTAATTAGTTTCATTAATTAAGAACTTCAGCTTTACATGGAAATATAATCAATTTTAAAAAATTTCTAAATGTAATTCTTTTTAATTTTAATTTAAGTTTTTCCATTTAGCCATCATATTGTTAGGATTTTATAGGATTTTCCCTAACAATTTGTACCTATTTTTTCTAAATTTAAATGCAGTGGAATTTCCCTTGTTTAAAAGAAACTAACCCTCTCTAATAATAACCATTTGTGTGTTGCGACTAATTTTTATTATTTTTCATGAATGGCCATTAATTAAAGGTTTTGTAGTCCTAAGAGAATTGAGTCTTTGCCACAAACTCAGATTTTCGAATCCTATTCTACCGTTGCCCGTGGAATAAAAAAACCGAATTTTTGAGAGAGAAAAATATTTTATTTTTGAATCAAATCAAAAAGTTTCAATTTTTATGATCGGACATCAGAACAAACAAACAAACAAACCGGGATTACTACTTTATATATAAATAGATAATACCTTCATTGGAATCTGTATGGCGTTGAGGTTTCTGATGAGGAAAGGATAATCAGTTTTATTCAAGGTTTTTACATCAGACCTAACAGTATATTCCTAAACCCAAGGATTTAACAAGGATTTGCTCTTGAAATAATTGAATGCTCTTGAAATAAATGAATGCTCTTGAAATAAGTGAATGCTCTTGAAATAATTGAATGCTCTTAAAATAAGTGTATGCTCTTGAAATAAATGAATGCTCTTGAAATAAGTGTACCTTTCCGTGTGTATTGGCCTGAGTGTACAACTGGGATAGTTTACTGATAAAGGATGTTAAGAGATTATGGCCTATTCATATAGTACAAATATCAAATATGCAGTACGCTTTCGGAGTACAAGTGTATGGGGAGGTTTTGTATCTTGAATTTTACTCAGTTTTCTCAGAACAGTTTATTAACCATGAAATATTGCTCTGTAAAAGACTGTAATAGAATACGTCTTCCTGAGAAAATGTAATCCTGCACACGATAAAGGAGTAGTGAATTTTAATAGTTACATAGAAAACAAATCCTTCATTTAAATATTTTCAGAAATCACCCCCTGGTACTGTAATATACAGATTGACCTTTGGAAGTGAAGTACATGGCCTGTACAATTAGTAAAGGATTGCCGTACATCAACACTCTATATACTATAACCTCGTTGGTTGTGACCGAAATGTTTCTCAGGATAATGCTGTACATTTTTCATAGCATGTCACACCTTATAGTTATCAGTAGATACTCCCAGATTTACTACGAAATGTCCCGCCCTTGATTTTCAAAATTAATTGTCTGGAATCCACTAAATGAAAGTCAGCTGTTTTTCACGGATTAAATCTCTTATCCTTTTAAAATAAAAATTTTGTGTTAGACACCATACTCTCAAGATTACTTTATCTCGATATTCACTGTGAGCACTTTTAATTTGAGGAACCATGCCTAATCTCTTTATTTCAGTTATCCCTTCAGGGAACGATTACCATGCTAGATATCTAATAAAGATTAAATTAATCTGAAGATTAGCAAAAGATCAAAACCAAGCATTGATTTCAATTTCCACAATACAAGAGTTCCCAGTCAGTGTGCATATTAACCAACGAGGTTATAGTGTATAGAGGGATGATAATGAATGATAATCCTTTAATAATTGTGTAGGCCATCTTTTGTACTGCAGTGTACTATCTCTGGGCGGTAATGTGAATACAAGACGGATGTCACAGCCTGACATGGGATCCATCTTTCACATAAAAAATCAATGAAATATTCTGATTATGTAAGTTATCAAAATTATCAATATTAAATGCTTTTATTCTCCACGGATACGAAACAAACACTGATGCATCTATTCTTTTTTACAATTTCCTGCTCAAAGAGAACTGGTTTCAATATGTACGCAGAGTATACGAAAATGAAATTAACTTTCCTTGCATTATAACCTTGATCAACTATACCGAGAGCGTACTCAATATTTGTTTGATTCTAGTCTAAAGTGTAGCATAACAATATTAGTAAACAGTTTTAAGTGTACAGTACAGCTAACTGAGCACAGAGTGCAAAACTTAAGAAAATTATAAAACTTGCTACGATACCCGGTTTCCTGAAACCCGGGTTTGGCAGAGTTCGGGTTTCAGGTTCTTAAAACGTATTTTGAAACTCTAGGAAACTGGGTTAAAATATGCTGTCGTTGGAGTCTCCAGCTGTGGTGTTTTATAAATAAAGCTGCTACGCACTTGAAAGTGATCAAATTGGTATCCGTTTTTTGGCGTAATAGTCGGCCCATCCAAGGAAAGATTTAAATTTACACTCTTTTAATTTCCAGAAAGGTGGAGCTACAGATTTTTTTTAAATATCTGTAGTTGTGTGATGTCATCAGATACATTTGTGAATTTGCTGAGACTTTCTTTTAGTTTAAAGAATATCTTTGGTACTAATTAAACTTTAAAAAGTTTTTTTTGCACATGGATCTCATTAAAAACAATTTCTAAGGCTACAATTTTTTTTTCTGTTGCATTCTAAATTTTTACAATATCACTAAGATTTTTAAGCAAAAGTGATTTACAAGACTTTTTGAAAAAACTATTTTAATGTATTAGGTAGATTAATGTTAATTTTTCTTCAGCAGTCTATTGATATTATTATTCTTACTCGGGCTATATAATTTTTAACTAGAATTTAGAAACTTATGAAAACAATTTCTGTTATATGGGACTAGGGGGGGGGGGGTGCAAATTCGTCATTGCACCCCTCTTTTAGAAGAAAAATGTTTTTAAGTTCGATTTGACTGTACTCTATTCAATATCGAGTCTATAGAGAGAGATCTTAACTGATCAAGTATTTGGAACATATATGAAGCCATTTAAAGCATAAATACGAAGAAATGGTGCTTCATATGATCCACAATCACTAGGAAACTCACTTTCCCAGCCGTAACCCTACTCCTATACAAGGGTTTCATTTTGAGGTATTGCCCCGTAACATTCTGAGTTTCCGGAGTTTCCCGAAACCCTTACGAAACTCAAACCCAGACTTAAGAGAGCTAACCCGGTTTCGTGGCCAGGTTTGGTTTGGGATACCCGGTAAATTTCTTTTAAGTTTTGCCCTCAGAGGTAGAGAACTATTATCCCCTGAGCCCAAAACCTAAGACAGGGTATCGTTATAAAAACTATAGTTTTGGAACCCGGGCTTCAGGAATAGGGTTAGGCAGTTTTGTGGATATCAATATTTTTGTTATGGACTATTGTATTTTATTTAGTTTCTTCCATAGAGAATAGAATATATATTAGAGGGGAATTTAAAGAATCTCTCGGTATGAATTTTTTCAGTCTCTTTCAGCCTGAAAGGAAGTTCAAAGTGTACAAATATGCAGTAGAGTACATTAATACAGTATGTTCCCTAGACTATTCATTTCAATTTCGAATTTTTTTAAACTGTTAAATAAACTTTATAATGAATTAGGTGAATAAAAAACATCATTTGATTTATAGTTATAACGGAAAATCATCGTTTGTAAAGTGGAAGGCATAGAGTCTATGTGAAATGATCATTGGTGAATTATAAAACCAGCCTATTTCGTAATTTGGTTTTCTTTTAATATTAATTTTAGATTTTCTATAAAATGATGTTCCAGGGCCCAAAAGGTTATAAAGCATAAATATGTGATGTATACCTGCAGTATGGAAACAGTACAACAAAATGGCCGCTTTACACTTTTTTCTAGTAAATTCCCCTCTAATATATATTCTATTCTCTATGGTTTCTTCATATTATCATTTTTTTCGAATCTCTTAAATCAAAATCTACATAAATGTTAAGACCGACGAAAAGTAAACTCAGGAGTTTCGTTCAACGATTCTCTTTTAAATTTTGGGCTCTGATATTAACGAACCGAACAGTGGTTTAATTGAGCAAGGATGAAATAATTAAATCCTTCCTTAGCTGGGAAAGCGTATGTTCCTGAATAGTTTGCTACACGTGCAGTCACGTTGCATCCAAACTTGTCACCACAGAAACAAGACTAAACAGTCAACACAATACTTTTAATATTTTCAGAGACCGAATTTTAAAACTTTAAATCGCGTCGCTAAACCGAAAATCACTGGTTCAAAATTTCTTTAAATTCGGCCACAGAAGACTTTTTGTAGTTTATTTTGCGTTGAAATGAATTTTATATATATCAAAGTTAAGTTGTATTTATTATTATTCCAAAAAAATGGCTTTTAAGTGATAACCAGAAACTCAGGAATTTAAATCGACTTTTAGACTCAAGTTATGACTTTAAATAGTACAATGAACATGAGACACAGAAAATGTGCATTGTAAACAGACCTATTTCACGTAATAAGTGTTTTGATAGCTTGCTAGTAAAGCTATTTGCTTTGTAACAACTTCAGTATTGAGCTAATTTCGTCTTCCTCTTCTAAGGTTTTCTGGCTATCACTGAATATGAATTTTTAGAAGAATTATTAGTTCTTTTAAAACTGGCAATTTTAATATTCATGAATACCAGACCTTAGAAGAAATTATCCAGCTTTTGCTCAGAATGGATCCTGAAAAAAAAAACAATAGAACGATGAGACTGACTAAATATTTAACATATCTTAGATAGAAGATAATTAGCTTCAAACTTTCCTTTTAATAAAAATTTGTAATTAACAACAACTCTCTGCTTCTTTAAACAATGTTGTTATAATCAAACTAATATAACTTTATTTTTACAAACATTGCTGAATAAACAAATAAAGATCAAAAACGAACCTGGGACTGCAAGTTTAAAAAATCCAGTTTTTTTGCAAGTTAATAAAAAGTGACCCTCCGTGCAAAGATGACAATACCCAATTTTGCAACGGCTTCGATCCTTGAAACCACCTCTGATTTGGAAGATTTTGCCGTTTTCAGGTTTAAACTTGTATATTGTTTAATTCTCTTAATACATACGAGTTTTCCTGCAGTAAAAAAAACGCAAGTCACATTTGAAAATGGTCAGTTTTTAAAATCATACCCATAAATATTTCGATTCATACAGGGTACCTTACACGACGGGTACCCTTGTGAATCGGGAATAGTCATCTTTACACGGCGGGGAACTTAACATTACACATCAAGGAGAAGAAAAGAACGATTGGTTTAATCTTGAAGAATCTATCTATTCCAATATTTAGTGGTGTAGAGAGAGATGTCTATATAACATTATTATGTACGTAATACGTATATTTGTATAGTGGCATGTCCGGATTCACAACGGTTCACTATAGATCAGCCAGGCCAAATTAAAGATTGGAAGTTCACTTGAAATTACACCAACAGTTTCTTTAAAAAGTTAAGTTCCTCCTGTGTGCATTCTACAAATTTTAAACGTCGACTATGCACTCAAACTCAGTAATTATAAATCGCGGAAACGTTTTATATGTCTCAAATGAATACTAAAGAATTTGACCACAACACTGCATACTCAGTTGAACACCCTTACATAGCCGGTTTGTCCCTTTAAAAGGTCACTTGAAATTACACTAACAGTTCCCTTAAAAAGTTTAGTTTCTACCTGTGCATTCTACAAATGTTTTATCCTCTCTCTCAAGTCGGATCACCACAAGCCAAGGCCGGTTCTTTAAACCAAAAATAAAGAAAAATTTCTTTATGCACAGCGCTACAAAATATTCTTCCCTTAGTTTTATTCATTTCTTTGCCTTAAAGGGGCTGTAAAGAAAAATAAAAGGGGGTATTGGATGAAACCTGAGAATTTCAGGTGTTGATTGAGACTTATAAGATGTTCCTGTCTCGAGAAATCGATATAAAACTATACCAAAACGTATCATGTAAGATTTTGTATAAGCTTCGTAGTACTAAACAGATCATATTCATCAAATACGGAACCAATCTGAAAACAACGATATACCAGAGGAGCCTGAGAAACTCCAGTTTGCTCCTATCATTATTTGAATTTAATATTTTTTTTAATCTTTAATAGATTTAATACATAATTCTATTTTTGCGTTCGGAACATGTCACCAGAACTCCAACCAATGGCAGTGCAGTATTATTATCACGTTTATCCGTCTGTATCACGTGACCAGTATACTGCACTGCCATTGGAGGGACTTCTGGTCACGTGATAAGGACGTATATCTAACATATATATACGTTTTGGCATAATTTTGATACAATTTTAAGACAATTTCTCGAGACAGAAACATCAGATAGATGTCTTATGAGAAGCGTTCAACTCCTGAGATTCCCAGGTTTCAGCCTATACCCCCTTTCATTTTTCCTTTACAGTCCCTTTAACCATTCAACTTTTTTTGCATTTTATTAAAAGAAATTTAGGTATTGACAAGCAGGTTTTTTAATATACAAACAGGTAGTTGGATATGATTAAACAGAACGAATAGCAAGAAGTAGATTTAGAGTTCAAGAGATGCGGTTCAGCTCTCTTGATCTACTAAATTCTTTTTAAAATTGGTTTATAACATAACTTTTTAACATAACTTATTAAAACTTTTGTATTAAATTTCTTATTTTGTTTTCACTTCACTTCCAATTCAAACATTAGAAATTTAACATATGTCTGCTATGTACAATCTACATACAAGGCGATCAAAAAAAAGTGTAAAAAAATTCTGTTTTCTTCAAAAATAATTTCTTTCATGAAACGGTATTTTTAAAATTGTTTACATTGTTACATGCCCCCCCCCCCAAAAAAAAGAAAGAAAAAAGTTTCGTGGATTTTTTTAACCTTCGAGGGCCGCCACACAAAAATTGTAAATTGCAAATGATATTGATATTGCACAAGACGACAATATTCACACTTTTTTTTGACTCACCCTGTACATTTAATCAATTACTGATGAATATGCAACCAACCTTGGGGACATATGGTTGAAAATCACTTTCATTTACATCAGTTCTAATAAAATAATATTGAATAAAGATACTTTAGTTAATCAAAGAATAGTTAAAATCTTTGGCAATAGAGGGAATATTGGGTTAGAAAGATATTTCATAAATGGACGTTTCATAGACAGGACATTTCATAGACATTTCATAGACAGGACATTTCATAGACATTTCATAGACAGGACACTTCATAGACAGGACATTTCATTGACAGGACATTTCATAGACATTTCATAGATAGGACATTTCATAGACAAAGCAGAGTTTTTTTAGAAAGGTAATACTAATTTCAAAGACTTAAAAGCATTTAAAAAGACTTGTAAGTCACAATTTTAGAGTATTTGATCTGCTAGCTGCAGAAAACATCCAAAAAATTCATTTATTTTTATTTTCAAAATTAGCCAAAGTATGATTGAAGGATAAACAAGGAATGTACGATCAAGACGAAAGAATGAAAAACAAGAAATACAGAAGTCTCAAAATGTTTCCATCTGATATCATATTGAAATTTAAAAATATTGTACAGTTTAATTAAAATAAATTATTAAAGTTAAAAAGAGTATTTCATCTATTTGATATATTTTTTAATAAAATGCATATATGTTTTGAAATGTATGAGTTTCAGCTAACGAGATAAAGCAAAAATATGAATAATGCAGTGATTTTCTAAAGAAGCCGAAATAATATGATTATGAATTGATTGAAAACTTAAAAGTCGTCTTTGACCTTAAAGAGACAGACCGGCTATGTAAGGTAGTTGAACTGAGTATGCAGTGTTGTGGAAAGCTTCTTTCGGATTCATTTGAGACATATAAAACTTTTTTAAATATCTGTAAATCCAGAATTTGAGCGCAAATTCGACGTTCAAAACTTCTACTTTGGGGGTGGATACGTTTTCAGAATTAGTTTTTTTTAAAAAAAAAGCTTGTGGCATTCAATATAGAAAACTTGATTTTAGCAATTTTTTAGGAAACCATAATCACCAAAAATCCCGCGCTTTTCAAAACTTGGTCTGCCAGTTCTTTTATCTCAAGAATACCAGTAATCTAAATTTCAATCTATTAAATAAACAGATATGTTAAGAATTTGGTCTGAATTTCAATTTATTATATAAAATACCAGATATGTTAAGAATTTGGTCTGAATTTCAATTTATTATATAAAATACCAGATATATTGAGAATTTGGTCTAAATTTCAATATATTATATAAAATACCAGATATATTGAGAATTTGGTCTGAATTTCAATTTATTATATAAAATACCAGATATATTGAGAATTTGGTCTAAATTTCAATTTATTATATAAAATACCAGATATATTAAGAATTTGGTCTAAATTTCAATTTATTATATAAAATACCAGATATATTAAGAATTTGGTCTAAATTTCAATTTATTATATAAAATACCAGATATTTTAAGAATTTGGTCTAAATTTCAATTTATTAAAAACCATGAAAATGTCTTATTCATATCTCCGGTAATTGTAGAAGCACAAAAATAGCAGACCACATTTAGGAAATGTCAGGACTATTATGCAATGTGATCTTTGTTTCATAAAAATATATTGGTAAAACAGGTTTGTTTATGTTGAATGCCGCAAACTATTTCTGAGGGTCAAAGACGACTTTAAAGTTATCATTTATCAATCTATTCATATTATTCCGGTTTATTTAGAATATTACGGTATGTGAAGTGAAAATAAGAGAGATCATAGATTAGAAAATAGAAGATCAGAGAACAGAGATTAAGAAAAAAATGTATCAATTCTCTTTGAAAAATATTCATAGAAAATGGAGAAGAAGAAAATCTGGATATATCAAGTATTATATACAGGGTGTCCCAAGAAACTTGAGACGATTGAAGATTGTCTTTAAGCTCAGTAACTTTTATTATTGTTTTAAGAATCATGCATCAGCAAGGAGAGCGTGGACAAGTAGGTTTATGAAGACTATCTTCAAGTCTTCTGTCAACTCTCCTTGTTACCGATACACATTGTATACTTTTTCCAGTTATCCCTGTTCAAAAACAAAGATCGGCCGGTTCCGCTGTTTTGACGATTTAAGAAAACATGAAGCCAAATTGTTTACAAGTTTATTAGATTAAAGAGATTAAATACTTAATTTCAAGAGACCCTGTATGCGAAAAAAGCATTTCCCGATTGGTTTAACCTCTTTGTTTTCATTTGTGAGTTCTCTGCTAAAGTTACTTGTGTATTTCTTGCTCATAAGAAACAATGGAAAAATTATCAAATACAATGTTTAAGTCAAAAAACAAGGTTTCAAGAGTACAGTTTGCTTGTAAATCCGGCATTGTCGATCCTGGCATGGAGGGTCACTTGATATAACGGTTAGAGTCCCTTTAACTTACATTTTCTTAGTTTTGCCAGCTGAATACTGTATAACTACAACAGTATCATTATCATCCAACAGTCTTTTCTCAGTTGTTGAAACAGGATTCTCGGTTTGTGCATCAGAGTTCACCTAAGTTGCAATATTTACCAATATTTCATGCAAAAATGCCGAATCGAACATCAAACTGAAGCTAATTTCAAAGATTAAATGTAAACTTGCAATTTGAAAAACGCTTGTCAAGGATAAAAGCATTATCAATAAAAAGTTGTCTTGATAAAGCTGAAAAAATATAGCTATAATCATTTCAAGGCGGTAATCCTAAAATATAAGGTTTCTAAAATAAATCAACGTATTTTTTACATCTTTGCAATGCAAAAATTACTTAATTTGTTCCTAATTCCGGTATAATAGTTGAACAATCTCTTAAATAAATACTAAACTGATTCTATATCAAGAAAGCCCGGAGCATCTCTAGTTATCATCTCTCCACATCTACACTGGTAGGGATCATTGTTCTTCAGGATTATTTCTTCAGAGTCCTAAACAATAAACAAACTGAGCGCCTTAGGAATGGAAGAAAATAAGCATTCGGATGAAATTTAAATATTATGCCAGTGAACTTATTGATGGGCATTATTTTTGTTATTAAAAAGAAATGAAAAAACGAGCTTTTTCAAATCATTTAAACAAACTTGAAGAAACTATCGTTTTTTTGTACTGAACAAACAATTTTTTCGAACAAAATTTTAGAAAACGACAATGAACGAATTATTTTTTAATCAAACTTTTCTTTTACTGGGAGAACTATTTTATTGAACCAACAATTGCATGTTCAGGCTGCTCAGGGTTTTACTCACAACCTTTTACAGTGGAATTTTAAAACATACCTTTTTCGATTTTGCCAATGTTGCCACAGCTTGCAATACAAGCAATATTAAAAGCATTGTTTTTCTTCTTCTAAAATCATAATTTGAAAAAATAAGAATTAGACCCAGAACCCACTGCAGCCAGTAATTACATATACAGGGTGTACCACATCATATTAGACCCAGAAGACACTGCAGCCAGTATTTACATATACAGGGTGTGTACCACATCATATTAGACCCAGAACACACTGCAGTCAGTATTTACATATAAAGGGTGTACCACATTATATTAAACCCAGAACCCACTGCAGTCAGTATTTACATATACAGGGTGTACCACATCATATTAGACCCAGAACCCACTGCAGCCAGTATTTACATATATAGGGTGTGTACCACATCATATTAGACCCAGAGCCCACTGCAGTCAGTATTTACATATACAGGGTGTACCACATCATATTAGACCCAGAACCCACTGCAGCCAGTATTTACATATACAGGGTGTACCACATCATATTAGATCCAGAACCCACTGCAGCCAGTATTTACATATACAGGGTGTACCACATCATATTAGACCCAGAACCCACTGCAGTCAGTATTTACATATACAGGGTGTACCACATCATATTAGCAGCTAGTATTTACAGGGTGTACCACATCTATTAGACCCAGAACCCACTGCAGTCAGTATTTACATATACAGGGTGTACCACATCATATTAGACCCAGAACCCACTGCAGCCAGTATTTACATATACAGGGTGTACCACATCATATTAGATCCAGAACCCACTGCAGCCAGTATTTACATATACAGGGTGTACCACATCATATTAGACCCAGAACCCACTGCAGTCAGTATTTACATATACAGGGTGTACCACATCATATTAGACCCAGAACCAACTGCAGCCAGTATTTACATATACAGGGTGTACCACATCATACTAGACCCAAAACCCACTGCAGTCAGTATTTACATATACAGGGTGTACCACATTATATTAAACCCAGAACCCACTGCAGCCAGTATTTACATATACAGGGTGTACCACATCATATTAGACCCAGAACCCACTGCAGCCAGTATTTACATATACAGGGTGTACTACATCATATTAGACCCAGAACCCACTGCAGCTAGTATTTACATATACAGGGTGTACCACATCATATTAGATCCAGAACCCACTGCAGCCAGTATTTACATATACAAGGTGTACCACATCATATTAGACCGAGTAAAGCTTGTAATTGCCCTTTTCGGCCATTCAGGAAATCTAAAAAGAATGAATTATTAAACAAATTGTATAAGGCTAATATAAAAATTTGAATGCAGAAAGTTTTTCGAGTATTCTTTGCGTATTTTGGCATTAAAGCTTGGAGATAATTTAATATGATATGGAGCGATAAAAAGAGCCTACTGGAGAACTTCACCATGCACTGGTTGGAGAACTACTCTATTTTTTTCTTCAAAACTTATTTTTCCCCGGATTTTTTCAGTTTTTTTCACGGATTCTTTAAGAGAATTCAAGTAGAAAATTGCTGAAGATTACAGTCACAATTATTCCATTTAAAAATTTGGATGGAAGTCATTTACTTTATTGACGACCTAAACCTTTGTAAACAAAGGTTATCTTCTGACTTACATATTGTTATTAATGGTTTAGTTTATTATTTGCCAAATGTTTATAATCAAGGATCAGATTTCAACTGTTCAAAGTTGCATTGTGTTCGAATGTATTGTTTGAAAAAAAGGGGAAAGTGCACGTATTCA